CAGTCTTTCTGGCCTTGCTTGCCTTCTATTAGATGAAAATCTTTTTGGGTTTTGATGGGGATTTTGTTTGATTTATTCATAGGAAAATATGCTCTCTGAAATAGTGAACCTATATTGCCACCTGTTTTGGGTGGGGGGTTGGTCACACCAATCAGTAGGTGAGTATATGTTGAATATTATAAATTCTTAACGTAATACTGCAAGATTATCAGAATGCTTGAATCATTTTACATTTCAGTGTATCACTTATATCAACAGTTAGTATTTTTGGTGCTCTTTTTAAAAAATTATTTGTTAATTTGAGAGATAAAGATAGTATGTTTTAATTTGTATTTAGTATTAATAGGTCTCTTCTAAATGTTTTATCTTTTCATTTGTATTTCTTTAGTTATTAATAAGTTTCTTCTAAGTGTTATTTTTAACTTCCTCGTTTGGATTATCTACTCGCTTATCTATCAGTAGTTTGTGTTTTACTAACTGTAAGTTCTAGAATTAAAAAAAAGTGTTTTTTACAGTAATTAGTACATGTTGATTGCAGAAATTTTGGAAACAAAGATTATAAAAAGATGACATAAATGAACTATTGTATTGCCAGTGTTGCTAAAGTCTTTGTATTTTTATTTAGATATTTAAAAGTGTATTTTAACATGATGGTACACATTATTGCATATACTAGTTTATAACCTCCTTTTTTCGTTTAACATAATAAACATTTTCTTGTGTTATTAAGTGTTCCTTAGGCAGAGCCAAGGTTATACACAGTGACACACTTTTAATACCCTTTCCTGCACCTTAAATCTTAATTGATGAAGAAATGTAAAAAAAAAAAAAAAAAGGAAATCTTCCCTGTGTTAGTTAGGGCTGCTGTAACAAAGTATTGTAGATTGGTGGCTTATAAACAAGAGAAACTTATTTCTCACACAATCTGTAGGCTGGGAAGTGTAAGCTCAAAGTTCTGTCTGATTCAGTATCTGGTGAGAGAGCTCTCTGCTTTATTTTTAATAAGGGCACTATACCCAATTAGGGGGGCTCCACCTCATGGCCTAATTACCTCCCATAGGCCCCAGCTCCTAGTACTGTCACATTGGATGTTAGGGTTTCAATATACGAATTTGAGGAGACACAGGCATTCAATCCATAATACTCCCTATCACTGGAAAATAGGAGGTTGGTTGTCCCAGTAAAAAACCTCGAGGAAGAAATTTTTGAAGTTGATGTAGATAGGTGGAGTGGAATTGTGGCCCTGGAGTGGGCAAGGTGGTGGAAAGAGGAAACAGGTTAGCGTTGCGACACCAGGGCTGACCACTGCGTATTTCCGGGGACCTGCTGTTAAGGTTGTCCCAAGACTAGGCTGTACTTTGTCTCCACAGCCTAACCTTGGAGGGGGTATCATGCCTCAAGCCCTGTGCTATGTGTATAAAATAATCTTTTAGTCAGAAAGATTGAAAGTAAAGACAAAGTGTACAGGCAAATGAGATACAAAATAAAGTAGGAGTGCCAATATTAATATCACAGGAACCTTTATGGAAGGAAGCAGACAAGACAGACATCAGCTAACAGTGTCCCAATGTGTCTAGCATTAGAAATGCTAGTGTATATATTGGTAAACTAAGTGGTAATGTGAATAGGTAGCAAAGGGACCAAAAAGTTCCAGACATTGGAAATTTGAACACTAAGTTCTAAATTAAAGTTTTGAATTACAATTACAGACTATTTAGATTAACATTATCTATCAAACTCTGGAGAGCTAGAGGAATAGTCATTTATTCAAAGGAACAACATCCAATGCTTTTATTATTACGTAAGGAATAGTTTTTTAAATGAATGAAAAAGTAAGTTTCGACTCAGAAAGATACACCAGATAAAACAGGAAGAAATTAATAATGACAAAATCATCTTGCTGAGTTAGAAAAAAAAAGTAAAAGTGATAAGTAAAAATTGTGAATTCTCTTTGTAAAAGAAATAAAATAGTCCATCCCAAGTCTAATAAAGAAAAAAGTAAATACTATAGATTCCTAGATAAAATCAAAGAATCAAAAACCCACATGGTTAGATTGGTCTGGAAATTGAGAATGTTTCGTATTTTAGAAAAGTAATGTGGTGCACATACCATATCTTATATGACATTCAGCACATTTGAATTAGAACCTTGTAATCAGACTTTATTACTACATCATGTTGATGAGTTTAGAAGAGAAATATCTACTCGGTGGTCAACTTAATAGAGGCTTTAAAAAAATTTGACTAAATTAAATGATTATTACCAATAAAGCACTTTGGAAATGGAGTAGAAAAATACTTCCTGACGTGCTAAAAGGCATCTTCTAAAAATAACAGTAAGTGCTGTTCTAAAAACAAGCCCTACGGAGGTGCCGCCCAAAGTGTTTGTTACCGTTTGTGAGGAGGGAGGTACAGAAATGAAGAAGCATTTGGAAATTCTTAACAGTTTTGACAGCAAACGTACATTTGTTGAGTCCAGTAAGTAGAAAATTTGCACTTGTATTTTGTATGCTTTTCTGTTTTATATTTCTAGCAATTCATTTTTTAAATACTTTACAAAAATATTGTTCCCAGTGGATGGGGGTGGGGGGGACTCAAAGCCAGTTCTTCATCACATGCAGTTTGAGATACCCTGCACTAGGGGAACTTCTGTTAAGTTAACAAGACCAAGGTGTCCACTGTCAACCACAATACTTAATATAATGCAGTAAATAAGAAGAAATTAAAGGGATGTGCAATATAATAGAAAGGAATGAGGTATAAATATTATAAAGAATTTGATTGGAAAAATATATGACTATAATAGTAAAAATTATAACAGAATTAAGAATGTGTAGTTTGTAGGACCTGTAAGAACAATACAGCAGATTTTCACTGAAGGATGGCATCAAGAACTCTGAAAAGACTCTGAGATTTTACCGTGCTTGCAAGCTGGCAGTTCAGACTGGCAGGTTCATAGATGCCGGCAGAAGACACAAGACTTATGAATCAGAGGCAAAGGATGTTATTACTCGGGGGATAGCAGGCAGCGTGAGCTTTGTGTTTGCATCGGCCTACCCCGTTTGTCCTTAAGTCCCATGGTGGGCGGTGTGGAGTGGGTCCAGGTGGATACTGAGGACACAGTGGGTTTGTATCACAGCTGAGGCACTTTGAGCTTGGGGAATTCCCAGTCTTACAAGGGGGCTGCTGGCAAACCTACCACCTAACTTTATCATTGTTTTAGGAAACAAGCCCCCCTCCTACCCTAGAGAAAGACATTACCTCCATCTTCCATAGTTATTTGCTATCTGAACATGCTTGAAGAAACGTTTAAATAAGACTTGCAGAAACAAGATATCCGATCTCTGGAGATTTGTCTCAGCAGATAGAAGACTTAATGAAATGTAGAGCCATACCATGTTTCTGGGTGGGTGGTTGTGTTATTTTAAGATGTCAGTCAGTTCTCCCTGAGTAAGTTACATAAATGTAACATATTATTTGATAAATTAGACTAAGCTAATTAGGAAAAATAATTGCTAAAGAATACCCAAGAAAAACTAAAAGTTAAAAATACTAGTCACTCCTATCGCATATTACTAAAGAATTTTAGTTATTTTAAATCTACTGTAACTAAATTTACATGATACTAGCTTCAAAATGGGGAGGGGAATATGTGTGTGTGTGTGTAGGAAAATAATGTAGGACAGGTCTCAGGATAGGAAAGGCCATTTGTGGAGGATGTCACAAGCAGAAACCAGATTGGACTGCAGAAACAAAGATAAAATAGCATTAAGCAGCATTTAACAGAGTTGAAAAGGACAAACAAAAATTACTTGCAACTTGTATAAAAGAGTGAATAGCACTGAAATAGTAAATTCTTAGAAATCAGTGAGAATGATGAATATCCTGATAGAATAATGGGCAAAAAAAAAATGTAAATGAAAATGATAGGTTGCCGTAACAAAAAATAAAACTAATACTGGTTGGTACAAGTGTAAGACACATGCTGTAATTCCCAGAATAGGTGAGGATATGGGGAAATAGATTCTCATATGTCATGCTAGTGTAAGTGTGAAAGTCAGCAAGCTTTCTGTAGAGCACTGTGATGCTTTTTTAAATGTTGATGCCTTTTAACCCAGGGATTCACTTCTATGAATTTTTCCTGAAAGAAGTAAGCCAAAGTGCAAAGAGTTTATGGCAATACTGTTCAATGATTAAAGATTGGCTACAATCGAAATGTCCGTTAACATGGTATTGCTTGAGTTCTGTATAGTAGCATCCGCACAATGGATTTGTAAGTCAGTCAGATTCATGTAGATCAGTATTTAAAGTAGAAGATGTACATAAAATAGTTTGCATTTGCCCTGGAACTTGGTGTTCCCTCTCTCTGGAAACCTCTTCTCCCAGATACTCTTAAGAAGTTGGCTCCGCACTTGCTTCCTGTCTCTTCTCATGTCGCCTTGTGAGTGCGGCTCTGCCTGTTCTCGGTGTTCAGATGGTGTTCTCCCACAATCCCCGTTTTCCTTTTCTGGTAGTATTGTATCATACTTAACATGCCACGTGACTTGTTTATTTAGCTCTGTGAGAATACAGAATGAGAGAGTAAATACTTGAATGTAGCTCTGTAAGTAGAGAGTATCTGTTTTGTTCCTTGTTTTACCCCCAGGACCCATAGCAGTATCTGTCAGAAGAAAGTCTCCTAACAGATGCTTCTTGAAAGTTGAACATATTTATAAAGATATTAAGTGGGAAAGGTGAAATTATAGCACATACTGATCCCACTCTGGGAAAATTCATTCATCTAAATAATTATGTAATCTCCAGGTGGAAAGTTAATTTTTTTTTACTACCCTTACCCTTTCTTCTGCCTGAAGTGAGAATATAACTTTTATAATCACTGAAACAAGATGTTAATATTATGGAGAGACAAGTTCTGGCACATGGGCCCCCTCTAAGCATAAAGGATTTAGCAGTCTCTGGAGGCAGAATTACTGACACCGCCTTGACTTTGCCTCTTTCAGGTGGCACCTCCGCCCTCAGTTACTGATACACCTGACACCACAGCAGATACTGGGGGAGGTTTACTGACAACCATGGGAGGACCTCTTCCTCCACATCTGGCTCTCAAGGCAGGTAAGGGACTTGAATGTGTGCACACGACTGAGATTAAGGTAGACGCAGTCTTGGTTGATCGCCGTCTCCCTTTCTCACTTGGATAGATTGAAGTAATGGTACTAAACATAGTGTTGAGAGAGAGAACCCAAGGCCTTCGTAAATCTGCAAATACCACCAGATTACTTAATCTCTCTTATAAAGAGGTACAGCTTAATTCCTTGTTGTCATTAGCTTTTACTAGTTTTTGAACTCTAGGTAGGTTTTGCACAGAACATTTGGTTAAAGGGTCTTATTTGCTGCCCTTCCTTGTTTTTAACTTACTTGTCAGATACGTTGTAGGCTTGTTTGTTTGCCTTATGAATCCCAGTCACTGCTGAATTCTGTGTGTTACCAAAACTTCTATTGGTGTAGGCGAGATTAACTAGGATATTGGCCAAATTACCTGAGTCTCAGATCCAGTATTTATGAAACAAGAATAATGGTTGCATTTACTCCGTAAGATTGTTGTGAGGAGTAATTTTTAAAAAGCATGTGCTGAACTTAATAGAATTTTAGTCAGTATTAACTGTTGTTTTTAGTGACTCTGCTTTCTCATCAAGATTCATTACTTTTAACACCTTTTCAGCTTCTCCTCATTTAAATCTCTAGCACTAGCAGTTAGCTTTCTTTCAGGGTTGTCTTTAGCAAAGAAACAATTTTATCATTTAATCAGTTGTTACTGCATACGTAACAAAGTCAGTACATGCGAAAAGCAAAGCTGCACTGATGATGTATGCTGGATTACCAGCTACTTCTGATCATGACTAGTAGCATCCCCTGCATATGGAATGCTGTTTAAATCGTAGAGATTTCAGGCCCACTTCCAAATAACTGAAACCTTGGATTTCTAATCATGGAGAACTAAAATCTTAATTAGGAATATATATATTTTTAAGATCTGGGATCTTCCTACAGTTTGATTGATCAAGAGAACAACCGTTTTCTTCCCTTAATAGAAAACAATTCTGGAGTTGGGGCCTCTGGCTATGGTGCTCCTGGACCCACCTGGGATCGAGGAGCCAATTTGAAGGATTATTACTCAAGAAAAGAGGAGCAGGAAGTACAAGCGGTAAGCCTGTCCCCCGTGCTGTGTCTCTGGGACTGAGCTCACGGCAAGGCTTGAGACACTTGCAACTTAATAATTTGGTAATTGTTTTAAGTAGTTGTTTGAGACTCTTTGCTGACACAGGACACCATAAACCTGAGCAGACTGTTAAATCTGGTCACTAGAATTGCCTGTGGAATAAAACAGTATTTATCCTGGTGGTGGAAGGTCTCCTCATCTGCTTTATGGAAAATGTAGTGGGCTTAATAAGCCTCATTTCATGAGCATTCACAGTGCAAGTGTTTTGATAAGACAGCTTACTTTTCCACTTAATACGTTTAAAATGTTAAAGCCAGCATAAAAAAATTGTTAAAAGTTTCTCAGGAACAGTTTAAATACAGCACAGTAACTACTAGCTCATTTATACACTAGGGCCATCAGATGGAGTAAAACCTAATTCTGGCTCAGTTTTGACTAGGATTAGAAACTATTGAAAAAAATAATAACTTTTGCATTATGAAGCATGTGGTACAAAGAAGGTATTTTTATAAATTTTTGTACCTTAAATATGCATAGCTAAACTAAAATTTAGCACAGCCAAGTTTAAGTCTCATTGATTCCACAGACTCTGGAGTCCGAAGAAGTGGACTTAAATGCTGGGCTTCACGGAAACTGGACCTTGGAAAATGCCAAGGCTCGTCTGAACCAATACTTTCAAAAAGAGAAGATCCAAGGGGAGTACAAGTACACCCAAGTGGGCCCTGATCACAACAGGTTTGCTTGTTTCAGTCTTCTCCTGCTCTAGTAAGTTAGGGTTTATATATTCATTGTTCCATTTTTGTACATGTTATCTGGTTCAGTTTGTGGATTGATGGATTGTGAAAAGAAGATGTGTTATTTTGCACAAGAAAAATTGTCATTGATTTGTAATGTACAGTTGACCATGGTGTTCACTTGAGTGTGATTTTTAGCTGTGTAAGAAGTTCTGCAAAAATCTGCTGTTTGTGTTGCTAGACTTTTAGGTTCTCATATGAATCTGAGAGGCAGAAATCACAGCCACAGTAGTGATGTGTCCGTAATTGACTCGAAAAGTCCGCCAGTGGCAGTGAGTTTATCTCCGTGGTGGTGTTAGAAGTAGTCACGATGTTTATTTCTTAATGGGTTGAGTTAGACACTTTGGTTTCAGTCCTCAGAGGTAGATGGCTTTGCATCTAGAACCAAATTTCCCATCAGCTCTGATAGTTAGCTACTCTCAGGAGTCCTGTTCTTGAAGATTCAAGGGCTTATGTAAAGCTGAGACAGCGTGGTCCTTGTGAGTTAAATTAGCACACTTCTGTTACACTTACAAAGCTGAGCACAGAGGGGGGAGGAGGCTCTGACAGTGGCAGTATGTTTCTCAGCCTGCTTGCTGTTCTTCCTGAGAGCGTTCCAGGGTGTGGTCGTTGTTACTCCCGGGAAGGCTCACGTGCATTAACCCTTCTGGGGACACTGCTTTCCTGGAAGGGAGGGAATGTTACACTAGAAACATCCTGGATGATTTAAGTTGCTGTCCTTTACTTGTATGAAATAAATCACTCAAAATATATCAAAAGTATTTTCCTTGAAAATCCAGGTGTTCTCCTTTGATGCATCCAGCAACCATAGAATAATTACTACTAAAATAAAACTTCAACACTGTGGTCAAAATGATACTCAGAGCATGGTTCCCCCTGCTTTCTGCTGTTTTGTTCAGTCCTGAATTCTCAAATACTTAATTTTGATGTCAGACTTTTTCAACTCTCAGATTGTAAAGCAAAGATTCATTTGCTGATGACTTTTCTTTAACAGTTTGTTCTAAACTGATAGAGCTAGGTAGCAGTGGTGATTTTAAGAGAAGTTAGATAATTTGAGTATGCCTGAAGCGTATTATAAACTTTTTTAAAATTATTTTTTAGAAACTTAGTGACTTCTGAAACAAAGAGTTGAAGGATTCAGGCTGTGACAAGGAGGGCACAGACAGCTGGGGGAGCTAGGACAGCCTCGCTTCTTGTATGTCCTTTGTTTAAAGGTGCAACAGACAGCGACACCAGAGGTCTGTGTTCACACACATGTGCTGCTGCTTAGGCTGAACTAAGCAATCACATGGGAAACTCATGTAAACTGATTTCTGGTGTCGCTGTTCCCCCAGGTGGAGGAGAATGAGATTGAGTGCTGACTTTAAGCCTGGCTGAGAAACATACTGGCATCGGTGTCATTAATGAAAGGGTGGATGTTGTTCCCCTGAAAGCCAGTGGCCTTTGACCCCCGAAGCCGCTGTGCCTGAAGGTCAGTTCACAAGAGGTATAGGAAGGAATCTAACGTTTATTTTTTTCTTAAGCCTCATCTAGCCGTATACTCAGCACAGAGGCACGATTGGCATATACCTGAGCAGTGAAGGATCAGAAAGCAGTTTTCAAAGGACAGTTTTTCCTCTATTAAAACCTAAATTTCTTCTCTTGAGTCTGCCAGAAATTTTAGCTATAGTTTTCAAAAATATTTTGTCATCCAGGACCTGATTTAAATAATTGTGATACAAATAAGCTAAACTTTTGTTATCAAGGGCTGCTTCCAACTGCAGGCAGATACCAGACCCCTGCCTCAGAGCCACTGCCGTATGCACAGCGTTTGTATGCCCACGTGTATGTGTGTGTGCATATGTTCAGCTTCTCTTAACAGATTGAAATCGTTGGTGGGTGGCGCATGCAAAGGAATCCTAAAATAATCATGACTATAATTTAAAGAGTTTTAGGTCTGTTTTATTTCTTGGCCTCAAGCTTAGTGGATTCCTTTTCACTGAATGTGTTCTGGCTACTCAGACTGCAACCTTTGGAATAAGAGTTGAGTAAGTAAATACAGAATCAAGAGCCCTAACACTTTCTTTTCGTGAACAATTGGCTCATCAACTTTGGGTATAGCTGTTTTGTGCCATGTTGTGCATTATTTGAAGTTTACATACTTCATTTGTTCTAGGATTAAACAGAAATGAATGTTTACAGTGATTTTTTTGCTGTGATTTGCCCAAGCAGTTGGAAAGCTTGCCAAATTTGGGAGTCCTGGATTTAGTAATTTCTAATAGTGGAATTTCTAACCTTGTTCATATATGTTGTTACAGGAGCTTTATTGCAGAAATGACCATTTATATCAAGCAGCTGGGCAGAAGTAAGTGTTACTGCTTCCCTAATATTCTGAATCGTGTATGGTGTAATAATATTCACTTTAAAGTCTTGAGCCACATATATGTGAGGTTTATTAATTTGAAAGAGTACATGATATAAGGTAGCATTTAGGGTATTTTAAAATATTAGTAATTAAAGGGCCCAGTTTCCCATTTTTGTATGTGGGAAAAAAAGATTGTACTAGGGTTATATTTCATAGGAGAAGAGATTGTAGGCTACTGAGGAACCTGCCAGTGTCAAAGAATTTTAAAACATTTTTTTAATCTTTCTATGTAAAAGATAGAGTTCCTTCAGGTAAAACTAGCTAGATGACATTGAGAAAGGAGTATATCAAATGATAGGGTTGGAAAACTAAAAGTGGATGTGTAAGCATTTAAGAGTCAATAGAGTCAAAAAAAGAAAAAATCTGCATTTCAGTTACTCCTTGGGTTTTATTAAACTACTCATACAATTCTTTAGTTAGTTTGTGAATTATGGACAAAATAAGATGCTCTTGAAAGCTGTATTTCCTAGAGACTCCAATAAAGAGATTTTTATGGAATTTAAAAAAAAAGAGAAGGTGAGAAGGTTACTCTGAGGAAACACTTAAGGGATAGATGGGGATTATTCATAAAAGAAGTAATAGAGCAAAGATAATGCATGTACTCTATTTTTAGTAAGTTTCAAGCAGGCAGTGTGTCATGCTTGAAAGTAAGAAATAGTAGGGGAGGGTAATAGTTCATTGGTAGAACACACACTTGGCATGCACGGGGCCCTGGGTTCAGTCCCCAGGACCTCCGTTTAAAAGTAATAATAATCATAAGGAATAGCCCTGTGTACTTGGTTTTGTTACTAACAAGTTTTGTGGTTTTGAATAAATCACACCCTGAAATTGCTGGGACTCAGGAGAACTGGAACTCAAAGTGAGAGAAGTGGCCTAAGATTCTTTCCAGCTTGAGAATTCTGCAGTTAACTCTGATGATTTAAATTTAGTGTATGGAAGACTTCTAATAGAATCAGGCCTTTGAATGAATCATCAGGAGATGATGTTGAATTTTTTTATCCTAGAGCTTAAAAATAAGTTGTTTTGAGTGGATGGGTTGTTAAGGGAAGAAAATAAAGAGTCTGTCAGCCCATTCTGACCGTCAGAATTAATTTGACTAAATTGACCAGTCAGGCAGGAAGGTACCTCTGCTCCTTCCTTCCTTATGTCATGTCTCCTGAAGCTGATTGGTTGGAGGAGAGGAAGCTTTATTAACATTTTCTTTAAGAGTATGAGTAATTACTCGCTTCAGTCTAATGCCAGGATCAGCAGACTACAGCTCTCTGACCAAAGACAGCCTGCTTTGTTTTATAAATGAGTGGCTTAACTGTGTTTCAGTAAGACTTTATATTTAATAAGTTTATTTTAAACTTACTGCAGTTCAGCTAGTCATTCATTTACATCAGGGGGTAGCAAACTTCTGTAAAAGTCCAGATAAATATTTTAAGCTTTGTGAGTCACGTGTAGCATACATTGTTATTTCTGTCTTATTTTTGCAACTCTTTAAAAACATAAAAACAAGTTAAGTTCCTGGGCCTGTAGTTTGTCAAACCCTGGTTTAAGTCTTGTCAGTGAATGCTTTCACGCTTCAGAGGCAGAGTTGAGTAGTTACGACAGACCGGGTGGCCTGCAAAGCCTAAAATATTTATTACCTGACCTTTATAGAAAGAAATTGCTGGCTCCTGGTCTAGGTGCTTTGGGCCCATTTTCGTTCCTTTGATTGATTTACTTTTTGATGCTTTACTTTTCAGAAGTTAAACTCTCTTCCCACTTTAATCCACATGTTGTTCACAATGACAGCTTTGTTGAAATAAGTGTGTTTGCTTTTATGAGGATTTGTGTCTTAGTGTCTGCCTGTTATCAAGATGGTTGGTCACTTAGTTGATAAGCTATTCTGGAATTGCTTTTGGTTAGCAGTTAGAATGAAAAGGAATGTAAAACCCATAACATACTCAGTTTTAGGGCAGCTTTTGTACCTATGCCCCTAGTTGCTTATGGTAAGATGTTCCTTTACTCAGGTGATTTATTCTTCTGTCTTTGGTAATCCTGACCTTAAATTATAGGAATTTTTGCACGTGAACACGGATCAAATAAAAAACTGGCAGCACAGTCCTGTGCACTGTCCCTCGTCAGACAGCTCTACCATCTTGGAGTGATTGAAGCTTACTCTGGACTTACAAAGAAGAAAGAAGGAGAGACAGTGAGTCTTTAGACTTAGTAGCCCAGAGAGATATTGTAAGATTCCGTTTGGCTTCTGTTTAATATTTGGCTAAAGTTTCATTGATAGTTATAGGACTCTTGCCTCAAGAAATGGAGATGATCCTGCTAACCGTCTGCGGCGTGATGCTGTGTTCATGGTCGGCAGCGAGTGAATAATCCTTTAAGGAGTTCTTCCACAAGGGAACGGACTCACTGGCTTTAGGAATATTGTAGCCTGGGTGTGGACTACGTACCCTTAGCCCTACTATAGTAGATGTGAGTAGTGCTCGTGGGCATATGTTACATGATTTTCACGGCCATCCCTCTTCTGTAGGTGGAGCCTTACCAAGTGAACCTCTCTCAAGATTTGGAACATCAGCTGCAAAACATCATTCAAGAGTTAAATCTTGAGATCGCGCCCCCAGTGAGCATACAGCTGTTTGGTTCACCTTTGTATTATTGAACTTCTCTAGTCAGACAAGCAACTGATACTGTTTTTTTGGTTTTGTTTTGTTTTGTTGTTATTTTTTAATAGCCTGATGATCCTTCTGTTCCTGTTGTCCTCAATCTTGGCAAATTGGCTCATTTTGAGCCATCTCAGCGACAGAACCAGATGGGTGTGGTTCCCTGGTCACCTCCACAGTCCAACTGGAATCCGTGGACGAGCAGCAACATCGATGAGGGGCCCCTGGCTTATGTAAGTGCGATGTTGGCTTTGAGATCAGACTCTTCTGTTTTCCTTTTGAATATATTTCATTAGGATGTCTAGATTAAAAAAAGGTTTCATTTTGAAGCTAAATTATGCTTTTGGCGGCTGCCTTCCCATTTACAGGCTACTCCGGAACAAATTAGCATGGACCTCAAGAATGAATTAATGTACCAGCTGGAACAGGATCATGATTTGCAAGTAGTAAGTCTGTGGAGTTTAGACATATGGTGCTCAGAGCTTCAGGACTTTCTAGGTATGGGCAGAAGGACAGTGAATAACATATTTTTGCTTTAGGGAGGTAGATCAAAGATATTAACCTAAATGCTAATCCTCGTTACCTCTGTGGTAGTTGTTAAGGGCCTGTGATTCTCAGTGTAAGTGGAGAGGTGGATAATAACTTTCTTGATGTGTTTTGGTATTTTCTGAATAAGACAACTTAAAATGTTTAGAAGAAAGGGAGTATGTATGAAATATCTAGGGAGAAGAGGAGAGAATAAAGGTGTGGATAAGGCCAAAAGATAGATGCTTCAGAAATTCAGGGAAAAGAGGCAGTTCAATTAGAGATGTAAATATATACGTTCTTTTATGAAAAAGTGTATTTTGACTAAGCCAATGTAAAGGAGTAACTTTTTACAGAGATGGCAGATATTTTTAGAATTGCTTCTAATATATATGCTGGCAGAAATCTGAGGTGTAACTTTTCTAATACAGATCTTACAGGAGAGAGAATTACTGCCTGTGAAGAAATTTGAAAGTGAAATCTTGGAAGCAATTAATCAAAATCCAGTTGTCATTATCCGTGGCGCTACTGGATGTGGTAAAACCACACAAGTTCCCCAGTTTATTCTAGACGACTTTATCCAGAATGACCGAGCAGCAGAGTGTAATATTGTAGTGACTCAGGTAAGTGGCAAGCCAGCCTACACAGGTGTGTCCCCGGTGTGGACTGTGTTTAAGAGGTGGAAACACCCAGAAGCCAGTCTCTTTCTAATTATTTGATCAGCTCCCCTTTGGAGCCACGTAAAGTTCTGAAAGTGATAGACTAATAGGCCCTTTAAAATTAAAAAAAAAATAGGAAAAGAAAAAAGGCATGAAAAGAATTTAAATCTTGCACTAATCCCCAGTGTCCTTCACTGACAGGCTGAACTGAACCATGCGGGGAGTTCTTTTTGTCTGGACTAGAGAGTCTTTGGGTCTAAAATTAAACAAAACTGAGAGTACTTTCTCCTTAAGTTCACATCCAAATCTTGACTCTCTTTATCTTATCACCTCAATATTCAGTTTAAAAAAAAAAAAACAGAGCCAGAGTAGACAAGCGAGGCAAATGTAATGGTTGACTTTGGTTGAATGCTTACTGGATGCTCAGTTCTGTACAGTTCATATTTTTTAACTTATTTAAATTTTATGACTCTGAGATGTAAGTGCTGTTTTATTTAGTATTTCTCTTTTAATCACTTAAGGCCCAAAGAGATTAAAAAATTGCCCAGTGTTACCGTAGGAAGTACTTGAAACTAAGATCATAACCAAAAAACCTGCCTACGGTATTCCTCCTTTTGACTGCTGCGTGCTGCTGGCTTACCAGCAGTGAGCAATGCCTGCAGGTTTGTCTGGCTGCTCAGGGAGGAGCTGACTAGCTCTTCCAAGCCTTCCTAGGTTAAAGCAGTTCCCTCAGCTCTGACCTGGGTTTCCGGCCCTTGGAAAGAGCAATGTGAGAGGCCAGGTAAACACTCTTCATGCTGCATGGACCTTGACTTAGGGATTCTTAACCTGTGAATCATAGTTGATACTCAGGAGAGTCATGTACCTTGAAATAGCAAACAATGTTTGTGCATGTGCATTTATGTGTATGTACAAGTCATATTGCTTAAACATGCCTGAAAGGGAGACTTGTCTTATAATTGACATCTATGTTGTAAGTGAAAGTTGGGTTTGGGGGCCTAAAAAAATTACTGAAGGACTCAGTGTTGTGTTTAAAATGGATGATATCTTAAGCTTGAAAAAATTCGATAGGTCTCCCTCCATTTTTCTGAGATAGGACCCTTAGGTTTCTTCTTGAAACATTCTTTGATTGCCCTTCTCATTCCCCAAACTGGCTTTGAATTCTTTGCCTCACAGTGGAAGTTCCTACTCCAGGTACATTGATCAATAAAATATCCTTGCTCTTTAGGTTTATCTGGTATCTCAGGAGGTATACTGTTCCAGGACGGCATCATTTTACAGAAGAACTTTGAGTTCTGTTCTGCTGTCCTTCCTTACTACTACTGTTCCATTTCTAAACTCAAAAAACACTCAGCCATATAGCAAAAATGTGGAACGCAGCTGTAGAGCTGAAGCCCTGTGTTCTTACGCAGAAGTTGTTTGCATGTCATGAGTAGGAAGAAAACTAACTCGTGCCCAAGTGAGAAGTATTTTTTTCCCTTCCTGTCTCACTTGATCAAAGCCCGGTTGTTCTAGACAGAGGTGGTTTTTATATTGTGGTCTTCAGCTTTGTATAGTTTGCTTAGTACCTTGAGTCCCTTCCCAGATAATGTGGACATTTCCAGTGGGTTTCATCTGTAAAGTGTGCAGATTTCTATACGCAGATTGTAACAGATGTAAGAACGGTGAACTACAGGGGGAAGTGGTGGGTCGCATGTTCTTCTTTTGCATAGAAAACAGCTCTCACTTACCTACGAGTCCTCCTGCATTTATATTCCTTCATAAAATGATGAACTCATGGAGTTAGAAGACACTTCAGAGAATTATTCTGTCTTTTTATTTAGGGTGGAATGTTCATAATAGGTGGTCACCTGACTTCTGCTTAAAAATTTCCAGTCATATGGAGATGTGGCCTGTGACTTCTGATTTGGAATGAATGCCTGAACTGTCGTATTAGGTCTGCATCCTGTGGCTTCCATGTTCTTATCCCAGTGCTTGTCCCCGGATCAGTCTCTGATACCACTTATGTATAGTAAGCCTCCAAAACTTTAAAGACTCACATAGTGTGCTAGTGTATCTCCTTTGTCTTATAAATGTCTGTGATTCAGCCATGACGTTAGGGCCCAAGGCTATTAGCCACATTCGAAGCATCAGCATCCCGGCTGGAAAGGCAGGCCTGAGCATGCCGATGGGTCACTGCAGAACACAGGTTTCAGTGTTTCTGACGTTATGTATAGGACTCCTGTCAAGGTAGTCTGAGGCCGTGTTAGTAACTTTTGTAGTAATGCTACTCTTGTGCCAGTTTTCCTTTTTCCTTCACTTGCAGTCATGCATAGGACACCACATGAAGTCATTACCTGAAGTTTTTTATGTGCTTTGTTTAAATATGTTGTTTCAAGTCCTAGAGCACAAGTTGAAAGTTATTATGAACTAGAATAAAACAGAACGAGTGGTTCCAACCTTAGCTCCTAACCTAACCACCAGCCTTAGTGTAAATTCTGTTCCAAACTTACTGTATTCTTTCTGGGCCTTCAGGCTGTTCATACTGAAGCCACTTAAAACTTGTGGTGTGAGTGAATTAGCAGTTGAAAATAGTTATTATTTTCTGATCTTAAAGATGTTTGAGAGAGATAAATTATAACTGCTAGGATGCAAATCAGGTATGTTAAATTACCATCTTCTGTGAATATTTTGGCAATCCCAAGTACCATCATTTCGGGATACAGCTGACCCTCGTGTGAAATAAACTTGAAACTTAAGAAAGTAGAGGAAGTGGAGCCTAATATGTTTTGTGATATCTGATGCCTTAGAAGTCTTGTGTTTTATTGCAGCCTGGTTCTGCTACCGTGCATTTAAATACCCAGATGAGGGATAGAGGTGCAAAGTTCTGAAACTTGTACTCTTTCAGTTAGATATCTCTAAGATTATAGTTCCAGGTAAATGTTGGGAGGGGTGCAAGAGATGCAGATTGTAGAATACTGCAAAGAAGCACCTTGAAACAGGTCGATAGCCACCTGTGGTATGGAAAGTTTTACTCGTAATATTAGCTACTTTAATTAATTAAAGTAAACAAAGAACTGTGAAGAGGAGGTAATCACTTTACTCCTATGGCTAGACTCCAGGCTAGAGTAATAAGATTCTGGAGAGCAACTGAGAGCAGATAAATAAGCGAAAATGAAGAAAAGCTCGTATGCTGGAGGATAATTTGAAGTGCTCTGCTGGAATGACTTAACATCGTCCCTTGCGTTCATCGCCACTGTTTTTTAAATTAGTTTCACTTAAATGGGTTATTGTCTTATTTTTAACATATTTAATCCAAATTCAACATAAAGTTACAACATTAAGAGGCACAATAGTTGGTAAAAGGATTAGATTGGGAGTAAAGAAAATTTGTATTATATGTAAAGTCACGTATATGAATTTAGGCAAAATAACTCTCTGAGCTTGTGTTTTTGTCTACTAGAATGGGAGAAGCTGTTATTCTGAAGCACAAGTAAAATAGTATATGCAGTCCTGGTTTTTACTGATACTAATTATGATTGTTTGGGGGGTTTTCATAGTCTTAATTATATTTCCTTTAGGATATAGTCTATTTATGTATACTGTGAAATATTTGAGAGGGATAATTAAGCCATGTGTGGAGAGGTATAGAAAGATGATGTTTTACCAGTGAACCTTGCCTTATACTTACTCACTGTAGGACAGTATGTAGAACGATTATTTAGTATCACGGAGAAAGGTAAATTATTCAGGGGATAAGTAGAGCAACTTCTTTATACGCAATCGGGTGGTGTGCAGTCTGAGAAGTGTTTAAACGTTCATTAATCTTTTGTGTTAAGCATTGTTCTCCTACACAAAATGCCTGTCCTGTGAGTATTTTTAATGAGCTAAGAATTATGAGAATAAGATTTAATTTTTAAATTTTTTTTCTGACTATAACAGTAATATATACCCATTGGGGAAAAAAAATCAGAAAACAGTAAATTTTAAAAGAAACCAAGGCTTACTCAAGATCCCACCATCCAGCAGTAATTTTTACTTTCGGTCTGTATCCTTTCAGATTTCGTGTGTGTATACTGTATGTTCACCATCTTAACCTGTCCCCTTTGTGTAACAACATGTGTGGTATTAAAGCAACAGCGTAATTTCCTAATGACTTCATAATTTTCCATTTTATGCATATGCCTTTATTAAAATGATGGAGATATTTCAGGGTTGTTGCTAATATTTGGTACTGCATATGCTGGGATGAACATACTTGTACATGCATTTTGTGCTTTCATTTGATTATCTCGTTGGAATAAATTCCTAGACATGGGATTGTTGGGTTGAAGTGTATGCATATTTTAACTTTTTATGCAGTTGCCATACTCTCCTCAGGAAAAGCTACACTGATTTCCAGGTGAATCAGTTATGAATAAAAGAAGCACCTCTGTTTTTAGTTTGTATTTTGAATGCTTTATTTAGAAGTCAGGGCTATTGACATCGGAAGCCGACAGGTTAGAGAAGCACACAGAGCACGGCAAGGAGACGCGGGCTGGTTCTTTGCAGTGTGAGTAGTCGTCTTCATGTCGATGTTTTTTCTCTTTATGCTCAGTGAAATTTGGCCTGTGCGGCTTCTGGAGATGATGCTTCAGCACCTATTGTATTAGTTTGTAACCACCTCTGTCATGGATGACTTAGGGGTGGGGGCAGTACGTTAAGAACTACAGCAGGTACTGCTCGCGGAATATGCCGTCTCCTGTTCATCTTCATTTTAAAAGGCTGGAAACTACAGAGATGACAGACCCCAAGTAGCCTCAAGGTGATGAAAGCAATCCTTGAGCACCCAGTAGCGTATGAATGCACCTCAGAAGAGTCAGATGTCCTAACTGATCTGAAGTTCTTCTAGAAGCCAGCTATTTAGTAGAAATGTTGAAAACTGTAGGAAAGACAGGAGAGAAAGGGAATAATAGTAGTGTTGAACATTTATACCTGTTCTTTATAGAATGCAAAGAACTTATTCAAAGTGCTTGGAAAACTTTGTATTTTATACCTTTACTGGAATATTGTCTTCACATTCCCTGACATAAGTGTATAGCAGAACTCTTCTGTTGGTGGACAAACGCATACTCAGGCCTTCATGTAACGGTTTTTATTCAGGGTTAGCGAGGTGCAGAGAACTAACTGGTCAGTGGTGGTCATTAAAAGCTAGCATCGTTCAGCAAATGAAGGCACGTAAACCAGACATAATAAGACAATATAAGCTCAGGAAAATACACAGTATGTTTAAGATGGCATCTTTTAATCCCTTACCTCTGTGGACAGATTAAATATGAACTGGGTGCTTATATATACTTATCTGTACTGGTTACTAGCTCCATACCATGAAGGACTCGTGCAAGGGAATGGAGTAAATCAGGTTTTATATTAATCCAAGGAATATTGATAACTCTCATGAAGTTACTCATCTTCTGAATTTTAGGGGGTTTTTGTTTTTTGTTTTTAAAGATTGTGTCTCCTTCTGTTTTCCTAAATAGTCATGTCATAACCTGGGGTATAATCATACAGGTACTTAACTAAATGTGGAACTCAGAAAAAGTTTTCTCAGTCTAAGAACTAAAACACAATCTGTCATCAGGAACTTTTTGACAAAATCAAACACGAGGCAACCCAAAAGCATTCAGTCTAAAAATCTGTGTACCTTCATAGCTGAACTTCCAGGATGTAATGTTAGCCGTAGTATTCATCAGGTAAATGCTGTTTTGTGTACTTAGAAGATAGGGAACACTTTGGAAGTTTTCAGAAAAATCAGGGTCCAACACTTCAAACACGAACCTGTAGCATTCTCTAAGCTTAGGGTTCAGTTACAGCAGAGGAGGAGATTATTCACCTTCCTAATTAATACCTGTGCGTCTCCGTTAAATAATTCTTTAAACGTGTGCTTTCACCATGGCAGGCAGTTACAAGAACAAACTTTCCCCTCGTGTTCTGTGTGCTTCCCTACTGGAAAATCATTCCATACCATTAAGAGTTGGGCCAATGGTAAAGAAATTTTTAATTTTATTTTTAATAAAAGTCTTGGAATCACTTTACATACAAAGTAAAAAAAAAAAAAACAGCACTTTTTTAAGTGCCGTAGAATTAAGTGGTAATTTTTGTCTTTTTTTTTTTTTTTAAACTAAATTTTGGAGCTTCCCAAAGATACCATGACTGTTACTGTTTCTGTTGACTACTGAGCTGGCAGTGGGACAGATTTATTACAGTAATTTAATAACCCTAATAAACAGGTACAAGTGTCATTTTGTAGCTTTTCAGTCGTGTGTGTTTGTTTGTTTTGTCTCAGCCCAGGAGAATCAGTGCCGTTGCTGTGGCAGAGCGAGTTGCGTATGAGAGGGGAGAAGAGCCTGGGAAAAGCTGTGGCTACAGTGTTCGATTTGAGTCCGTACTTCCCCGCCCTCATGCCAGTATCATGTTTTGTACTGTGGGTAAGTAACATGGGTTTTTTTGGGTCTTTCATTTAGGGTTTATATTTTGGTTATTTGTGAAGAAAACTTTTTGGTAAAGAGCACAGAATGACTAGAAATAGTAATCAAGAAGCCAGTCTCAGAATTCTTATTTAAATAGAACCTTTGGCATTTTTTTTCCGAGAGAGACTTTGAGGTACCTGCTGGTTGATGTAGCTTAGAGAAAATGATATTACCTTAGGTTACTAGAGTTACATCTTCTAATACTCTTTTCACTAAGCAAGCGTGTTGCAGAGTACACGATCACCTTTTTAAAAATTTAAATATACCAGTGATTATCCTGCCCCTAAAATGCTAGGATTATATTAAAGCATAGTTGATTGTCTAGGAATTTTTTTCTTTGCATTTTTCAATACCTCCCTACTTTAATTAATTCTGATTTCCTCTGATTTTCTTTTCAAGGTGTGCTCCTAAGAAAATTAGAAGCAGGCATTCGAGGAATTAGTCATGTGATTGTAGATGAAATACACGAAAGAGACATAAATGTAAGTAACTTGAGAGTTACGGTAAAGTACAAATGCTAGTTATTCTGAAAGAAGAGAAATCAAAGTAGAATGTCTTTTATTTTATTTCCCTTTTCCCACTGCTGACATCATCTTGTCAAAATTACGAACTTCAGTCACTAAGATACCGGTTACCTTTTAAAGCAAGGCCATTAAACCTTTTTTTTTCCTTTGGTAAAGAACAGAATTCTGAAAGTAAAGACTTTCCTGTAAAGCAAGTGTAATTACAGTGACCACTGAGCTATTAGCATGATTCAACTGAGCTAATGATTTACTGTTGAACAGCTGATGAAATTTTAATAACCAGTTTTTCTTTGGATTGGAATTTATCTGTGATAAATTTTACAATTTTTAAATGTAATATAATTAATAGTGTCTTTTTGGATGTTTGCAGCTCCAGTCTTTTCAGATGTTACTGACAATCATGTCAGAATTAAGAAATTAGAATGTATTTCACATCCTCCCCTCTTTTGGTCCTTGGCAAAACTCGTATAGAATTAACTTATTACACAATTGTATAATTCAGAGAGTGTTACCATAAAGCAATGACTTATTTTTGTGACAGCATTTTGCATACCAAAGGGGTCAGTAGATTGATAGTATGTCATTCAAACTATTGCCAAGCTGCTATTACTCAAAACATTTGTTGGAGTTCCTCCTCTTTAGAAAATCTTCCATCACCATTATTGTTAATTATCTTTGGTTTTAGTAAAATTTTGACCTTCGTGATTGAGCAAAAGCAAGTAAGAAAGTTTGCATGGTTTATCAGATGACCTTTTAAAATCAGAAATCTGACTATTCAATAGGATAAAATTTTTATTTTTGTCATTCAAAATCTTTTGTAAACACACAATTTTTTTCCCAAATAGCTTAATCAAACTTAAATGCTTCAGTTTTTGTCTTTACTAGCATGGTAACATACTAGTGTTCTTAGAGTTTAAATTATTCCAGATCATACTGAAAACAGGGATCATTACTATTTTCCCCAAAAATAAGGGGTTTTGGTCAACTTTTCTTGAAAATTTGATTGTCAGGTCCTTACTAATGTATCCTTCACAGTGAAAAATGGAAAAATGACTGCAGAAACGTGTTCTCTTTCAGAGGAACCTTATCTAAATTTCTCACTCTACAGTTGAAACCAAAAAGAACTTATGGACCAGTTATTATAAATAATAGAATATAAGCAGATAGCAATGTGGCTGGATAAAAGGATGACATACAGAAGTCAGTTGCATTGTATACACTATAAACAAACAGATAGAAAACAACTAGAAAGATACCACTGTACTAGTTAGAGCGTCAAGTACCCAAGTCCAAGAAAAAGACCTGTAGAACCTCCACGGGAAAAATAAAAACTTCATTAGAAACACTTATAAGACTACATTGTGTTCACGGCTAGGAGGACTTAATATAATACAGATGTCAGTTCCCCTTAAGTTGATCCATATTTGAATGCAGTTCTAATCAAATTCCAATAGGTTTTTTAATAGCCTAATTATAAATACCTGTAAGGAAGATTTATGGCCAGAAATAACCAGGACTCTTATAGAGGAACAGAATGGAGGGTCTTGCTTTATAGATACTGGAACTTAATTTGAAGCTATATTTTTTGAGAACGTATAGGACACGCATTGACAGTGTGACCCGTGGAATGATGCAGAGTGTGTGTTGTCTGCAGCTTTGGTACAAGAGTGAGAGAGAGGCGGCATGTTGGATCAGTGGGAAAGGGAGTGGACTATTCAATGGATGGGGCTGGAAACAAATGGTTGTCCACGAGGAGATCGTTGAAGTTGGATCCTTACCTCATAACCAAGTACAAAAATCAACTCCACATAGATAAATCAAGTCTTAAATGCCAAAGCAGTTTTAACTCTTCAGTGGAAAGTATTAAGTGGGCACATGGACAGCACTATCAATAGAAATATAATGTAGACCACATGTAATTTTTAATTTTCTAGAAACATATCTTAAAAGGTGAAAAGAAACAAGAAAAATTAACTCAGTGTACCTAAAATATTTTCATCACGTAGTCAATTTAAAAAATACTGAGGTTTTAAATAAATAAATAAAATACTGAGATTTTTTACATTCTCTTTTTCGTATTGAGTCTTCAAAATCTGTGTTTTACACCTAGAGCACACCTCAGTTCAGATTAGGCACATTAGTTTCATGTGCTCGGTAGTCAAAACTGTATTAGCCTTTCCAAAATAGCCAACGAAGCACTGGTGTAGAAATATATAAACACTTCCTACAGATCCGTGAGGAAAGTACAGATGACTCAATACAAAAATAGGGGGAAATACAGGCACTTTACAGAAGAGGGATTTGGCTGATAGACATGACGAGGTGTTGAGTCTCATTGGTGAGTAGGAAGGTACAGGCCAAGACTAATTTGACAATTGATCAAAAGGATATAAAACCAAATGGCTTTATATCCGTTTGATAAACAAAAATTCAAGTGACGATGCCCAGTTTTGGAGAATATAACCAGCAGCAGGATCTGTTGCTCATTGTCATGGTGGCTTGTAAGCTGGCGGAGCTCCCTGGGGAGATAGCTGAGCATTATCTCCTCAAGCTCCACATTTACACGCCCTGTGAGTGCAGTTCCATACCCACACTTAGGAAAAGGTAAATTTAAAAATGTGTGTATGCCTGCATGCGTGTGTGTGTTTAGGAATCTAGGTGAGAGGAATGATACGTAAAAGGAACAATAGAAGATTCAGAATGGTGGATTCCTCTAGTTTGGGGGGCAGAGAGTGATGGGACTTGAGGACCACACAGGCAGAGGAGTTCTGTCAGAGTTCTCCAGCTTTCATATTGTTTGGTGGGTGATAGAAACTTTACATTATTAAATAATAAATGTCTTTTAACCATTGTTTTGTTTGAACTAAATAGTCTTTTCAGCATTTTTAAGATTAGCCTTACAGGTGATTGGAAAACTGATTTTTGGCTCATTATGTCTTTCCCCTTTTATCTAAATTTCACTGAAATTTTTGAGGGTAATTCTGTGCTCTCATTAATGTTTTTTTTTTCTCTTCCCTTCTCGTACCCGAATAATACTCGTTTCTAATCCTCACAACTACTAGGCTACAGCTGTTTTGAAAAACAGTTATGCATCCCATGGTAATTTTTTATTTTACTTCTATAAGCCGCCTAAGAAAGTGAATTCACTGATGTCTTGTGGCTGTATAACACGAGATCTTTTAGCTTTATCTTACTAGCGAGGACTTTTTAGTGCATCAGTTTTTCCATCTGTGTTTGTGTTTTACAGACTGACTTCCTTTTGGTAGTGTTGCGTGATGTGGTTCAGGCTTACCCTGAAGTTCGCATTATTCTCATGTCTGCTACTATTGATACCAGCATGTTCTGTGAATATTTCTTCAATTGCCCCATCATTGAAGTCTATGGGAGGACTTACCCAGTTCAAGGTAAATATTCTTTTGATCCTAGAGATTGGAGTAACAGCTTAAAGGATATTTAAAATACCATCCACATTACAGCATCAGGTGCATCGTCGCATTCTTGGGGTTTCAGTCAAGCAGTCGTGAGTGTCACTCACTATTTGAGTTTGCATATCAAGTAAATTTCCTGCCCTTTGCTTATAGCTAAACTTAACTTTTAAGATTTTATACATTCAAATAGAAATTAATATGGCCTGATGGTGTTCATGGGAAATACTGTTTACAAGTTTAAGCACCTAAGGTCAAATTAACAAGAGAATTTTTCCTAGAGCCAGAGCAGGCAGATTTGAAATGATAGGAAAGTGTCTCAAGGTCAAGTGTGTTTGATTGTTCAAAAGCTGCTTTATTTAGAAGATTTTATCCTCACCATTTTCCAGATAGTCATCTAGAAACTTGGTTTAAAAAATGAGTTATGGCACAGTCTAATTGAGGGCATGAAAATAAGCTAAAATATTCTCAGTGTAGGTATGAAATTACGAATGGCTATCAGGGTGCCAGCTTTTGAAATTCGAAAGTATGGGTAGCTCTGAAATGAAAGTGTATTTATATCTCACAGGAGTCCAGGTTAGCAATCCTAAAACTGCTTTGTGTGTATACTAGGATTGAAAAAATAAGTAAATACAAGGCAGATGGTGGGAGCCATGTTTGCTGCTGGTGTGAGGTTACAGGTAAGTAAGGGAAGCTCGAGTGAGTCATGGTGCTGGATCACAGTTGGACACATCTCCTAGCTCTGTCTGCTGCAGGCTTAGAAGCAGTGACACCCCAATAGCAGGGATCATGCCCAACACCCAGCTCTTGTTTCCAGTACCAGTCTCCACTTGAAGGAACCAGGTGTCCTTGAGGAGATGGCTGATTCTGAGGCTGAGGCAGGGAATATGCAGGGTGAGCCTAGAACGTCTTGTAGTGCCAGAAAGTCAGGAGGTGCTTAAAAAACATGGTACAGGGGGAAAAGAGAACATAGAATTACAACCGGAAAGAAGTCTCAGTGGCCAAAAATGGAATAGTTTGAACAAAAAAATAAAAAACATAGTATTGGATTATAACCCACAGTATAAAATAAATACCCATGAATTTATACAATAGTTGAATAAATAAGTGGGTAACAAAGCTCTCATGTGGAAGTATTTCAAAAAAATTATGTAGATACTCTCACCTCAAAAAGTGCTCATTAACTCCGTATGTTTTGAGTATTCTGTGGTTAATGACTTGCTTCCAAAGAGTGGAGTGTTGGGGGGGCATGAGTGACTGCAGTGGAGTAACTTGGCAAACACTAGTAAAGGTGGTAAAGTTTTAACATCGTCCGTGATGAGTCATGTTGATAGTATGTACCTTTGAAATAGTGGGATGAGAATGGTAATTTGGGGCTCTTGAGGCATAGAGGGAAAGCGTTGAGATTGAGGCACTTCTGGAACGCTTCGAAGAATCTCAGGAGCATACCTGGTCAGCAGATGTTCCAACTTTGCAGTGAGATCTTTCTTTAGAGTAATAACTGGAAGGAGCCCATTTTATGTGTGTATCCTGACAGAGGAAGGAGGGGCTGGGGTGTGTTACTGATTGTGTTGGTGTCGGTTTCTTTCCGTGTGTAACTGCCACACCGTGCGCACAGTGTGCGTTCCGTGAACGCTTGGTTGAATATTGTCCGTAGAGGGTACCCCAACTGGCTTTGTAGGCACACGTGTGAGAGACGCCCTCACCCTTCTTCAAGGTCCAAGAGAGGGAACAGTGAGTTTGATTAGGAAAAGAGGTTACTGGCACTGGAATTTCTTGGCAGTTGTGAGGAGTCACATTGAAGGATGTGAAGGCAATTTTGAATTATGAATAGAAAGTGAGCTTTAAAGACTGTTCCATTCTGCAAGTTGATGGTACCTACCTGACTGGCTTGTCCTTTCAGAATATTTTTTGGAAGACTGTATTCAGATGACCCACTTTGTTCCTCCGCCAAAGGACAAGAAGAAGAAGGACAAGGAAGACGACGGTGGTGAGGATGATGACGTACGTCATTTTGTGAGGAGTTTTCTTTATGGGCAAGTTATTGCAGAGAACGATTTTAGTAAAAGCATGCGATGAGTTAGCATCACAGAGAACTTACAAAACTGTTTGTCTTTGAATTAATTGGTGTATTTCACCCCAAAGAATTTCACATTCAGTAACAAGTTCTTTTCATACCGTGAGTCCATGAGTTAAATCATCTCTGGCATAAAGATTTTTTTAAAAAGAGGGAAGAATAAGATGTTTAATAACTGTTTTATAAGGCTTTGCTGCTCAGAGTGTTTTCCATGAGACATAGCACCTGGGAAGCTGGCAGAAAGGCAGAATCCTGTGCCCCACTCCAGGTTTACTAAATCAGAATTCACATCTTTAACAAGCTCTCTAGGTGAGCCTTCTATGCACAGTAAAGTCTGAGCAGCAGCAGCTGTAGCCCAGGTTAGAGAGACCATATGGAGAGGGCGTTACAGTGGGGAGCAGCGAGGGGGTTCCTAAGAAGAAATGGGGTGGGGGGTGACACTTTATATTTGTAGTGCTCGAGAGCTGGACCAATGATAATATGAAAGTGCATCTTGGATCTGGAAATGTGAACAGGATGAGTACTGTAAGATAGCCAGCAATGCAGAACATGATAAAAACATGACCTGGGGTAGGATGTTTTTAGTTAGAAGATTTGAAGATGTAAATGAATAGCAATTTAGAAAGTTTATCAGAGGAAAAAGATGAGTTGTAAAACCTTTCTCATTGCTGAAGGCTTGGTTTATCATTGGTTCTAAGGCAGTTTTTGGGAAATACAGACCACATTATTTCAGAAATAGATGAAGGTGATCAGATACCCTGCCTGCAGGACACCGATGCAAGAATTAAAGGACTTCATATTTGGTGTGAGACGAGCCTGGGAATTACACAGGGAGGCATTGTGTATATATAGAGTAATTACGTGATAATTGATACAGAGGATCATAGGAGCAGTTCCTTAACTAAGGAACGAAGTATTTATAGTCATAAGAGAGGAATACACTATGTAGAATGAGCCGTTAGAAGTTTCAGAGTTAAGAGTTTGCTTGAATTTTAGTGATGTCCTGTGAGAAATACTGGTCAGTGGAGAAATTCAGTATGTCAGCGTGCAGTGATTTTAAGTTTTAAAAAATTAAATTTCTTCTATATGCCAATGTGACTAATCAGCTGAAGGATATTAGGTGTCATTTGAACACTGAGAACAAATCTAGGAGACTTAACTCCTACCTGTAGTAATTGAGACAATCCAAAATATGTCTGTTTTTTTACAGGCAAATTGCAACTTGATCTGTGACGAGGAATACGGCCCAGAAACAAAGATGAGCATGGCTCAGCTGAATGAAAAGGAAACTCCTTTTGAACTCATCGAGGCTCTGCTTAAGTACATTGAGACCCTTAATGTTCCTGGAGCTGTGTTGGTTTTTCTGCCTGGCTGGAATTTGATTTATACTATGCAAAAGCATTTAGAAATGAATTCACATTTTGGTATGAGTCTTTTTTGAGTTCTCAACTATTTGAGAGTGAAAAATGAATATTTTTGCTAGTGCCCTAGCCAATACGTGAAAACAAAATTTAGTTTTTTGTCTGTTTTTGATTAAAAATATGCGTAACATAGCACAGTTTTAAACTAAGCTCCTATTTTTAGACCTTAACCTTTCCATGTTGTTATAGGAAGCCATAGGTACCAGATTCTGCCTCTGCATTCTCAGATTCCTCGAGAGGAGCAGCGTAAAGTGTTTGACCCAGTACCCAGTGGAGTAACCAAGGTAAGTAGTCAGCGTTACAGCTGTGGGGTTGGAAGAGATGTGGATATTAACCAAATGCTACAGGCCTTCTAAAAGCTATCCAAAAAAATTGTAATCCATCTAAATTGAGGAAGAAAAAAGAAATCCTTTTTTCCTCAGCTTGATAGGGTTTTCAATTATCCAGTCAGTGAGTGAGTGATTTTTTTTTAAGACTTCTGTAATTCTCTTCTCATTTGTTACGTAAGCAGATCAGTCCTTTTAAGTACATAATAGGAAGATATTTTTTGAAGTGTAATTTTTCTTAATGTTTCTTCATAGGTTATTTTGTCCACAAACATTGCTGAGACGAGCATTACTATAAACGATGTTGTTTATGTCATTGACTCCTGCAAGTAAGTCCCCAAGGAACCCATTTGCCTAGAAGAAATCTTTAGAGTGTTCCACATAGTGTCAGTTAACAGAAACGAGAACACCTTATTTTTAAAACTTGTGTTCTTGCACTGTCAGGGTTACTGGGCTTCATCTGTATGTACCAGGCAATTAATGTTTCTTCCTGGTGTTGATCATCATGTCAGTATCGTGATGGCAAGTGCCAAAGCTTAACACCGCCTGTGACTGCTCCCCGCTGTTGTCTGCTAGGGCCGCGCTCATTCCCCGGTGGGCTTTTACGCTGACCGCGGCCATGCAGTAGTGTGCTGGGAGCAGGTGCTGTTTGGTGTATGAAGATGTCCAATATTTAGCTCGTGACAGTCGTCCTACTGGTAGGACACTCATTTAAGAATTAAAAGACTTCAGGCCTTTTTCCGCTCCCTCCCCTTCGGAGACGGCCCGCCCTCTGTCTGTGGAGTGTGCACCTACTTTTACTTTAACCTGAGCACCCAGTTCCCACACCTCTTGCCTTGCCTTTCTCTTGCCTTACATTCTATGCAGTATGCATCTCTCTAAATATACCTTTACTCAAAAAAAAAAATAAAAGGCTTCATATTTGGTATGAGATGAGCCTGGGAAATACACAGGGAGTCATTCTGTAGAGATAAAGTAATTACATGGTAATTGATACACAGAGGACAAAAACGTCAAAGCTTTGTGTGTAACCAGCTTGTGCCCCATGTTCTCTGTATACAGTCCCTAAACCTGCCCTGGCAATTGAAAAAGATTTGCCGGCGCCCACTGTAAGAATGGTGAGGAGCATGGAGCTCTTTGTGCCAGCCCCAGTCCTTAGTGTCAGCTGCCTGTGTGTGACACTGACAGGCTTTGAGCTTGCTAAGGGCTTCCATGCAGACACCACTTGGTGAGGCCATCAGAAGTGCCACATACTCTAGTTTACACAGTCTTTAGAGCATAGATTGCCTAAAAGTTAAACTAAACTTTGGAGCAGTTGGCTTATATCATTATCACTTACTTACATGTATGTGCCAGATTCTGTTTAAATAGTATACATTCATTAATTCACTTAATGTTTATAAATAAAAATGCTATGAGGTAGGTAATATTATAACCATTTTCAGATGAGGAATATCAGGCACAGAAGGATTAGCCAGTTGGCCAAGATCATTCAGCTGGTGAGCGGCAGACGCCTGTCCCGTTGCCTCGGTTGCTGGCCGCTGGGAGCGTGCTGCCTTGGGTCCTCACTGCTGCTGTTCGCAGACAGGTCGTCAGTAGGCGCTGACTGTCTGGAAAGCACCTGCCACTTAGTGGAAATGTGGTGGTTATGTGTTCATAGTACATACGGGTTTCAGGATTAACCACTCTTTCCTGTTTAGGCAAAAAGTGAAGCTGTTCACTGCTCACAACAACATGACCAACTACGCCACAGTGTGGGCATCCAAAACCAACCTGGAACAGCGCAAGGGGCGTGCTGGCCGCGTGCGGCCGGGGTTCTGCTTCCACCTCTGCAGCCGAGCTCGTTTTGAGAGGTAAGACCAGTTCTTGAATAAAGAGTGAAGGTTTTTTTTCCTTAGCCCTTCACACACACACCCCTTCCCACGCCTCTCTGCCTTGCCGTGAACTTAATGAACTCACTACATAAGTGCCTCTAGTTAAGTTCATTAGAGGAAACTTAGCTTAGATAGCAAGCTTGTGGTGAGAATGAAAATCAGAAATTATCAGTGGTGGCACATTTGATACCAGGTTACTATTTATTAAAACCTTTTGAAAGCAGAGTATAGAAACATTCTGGCACTATGTATCACTTGGAGATTACTGATATTTATGGAATGGTTAAGTTTCTGAAAAATACTTTTGTATTTATAGAATTCCCACACACACATACTGACTCACACTGTTAGCACATCACCTCTCTTGTACGATCCTCCTCATGTGCCTGAGAAACAGAGGGCATTATTTGGAAAAGGGAACCAAAGCTTAAGGAGCATAGCTGACTTCTTCAGGACTGAAACCCAGGTCTGTTAACACCTTGTCCATTTCATTTATACCACAGAGCCTTTTGGGGAATGTTAGTGGATGGGACCAATTGGTTACAATAATTCTCTGTGAATTACAGATGTAAGATAATGTATTTAGTTGTATGTTTCTGGAAATCCACGTGGTGTATGTTAGCTCTAACTAGTTGATACTAGAGGTAGAATCAGGAGTTTTGCGTACATGTATGTGTGTTTACCACAGTGAAGAATTGAGGGACAGACTAATTTAGGTGGCCAGATGCATATGACACACTGGAGAAAAATCAAAGAAGCTTTGATTTGCTTTTATGTTGGTAGCATATGGCTCCCTCATAACTGTAAATGTAGGTTTATTGGAGCATCAGAGGTTAACCCAGGAGACTGGCTGCAACATTTGGGAGACACTTAGTGCTTTTTAAAGGTTGGATTGTCCCTTGAAAAGAAGAAACAAGTACTGTACCCTAACATCTTAAGAGGAAAACCACCTACTAGTATTAATCAGTAACAGCATGAATAGATTTATAAGGGGTTTTTGTTCTTTTCTCTGTAGGATGAGGAATGTTGTCTGCGTTTATGTAAGCCTGGTTTAAGCTGATCTAAGTTTTGCCGGCAGTGTTGGAATTCACCTTTAAATGGTTCCCATGAATCTTCATTGTAAACAGTTTATGGAGAATAAGCCTGGATTAGAAATGTAGAGACCTGGGTTTTAATACTGTTTGTGCCTGATATGTTACAGAGCCTTAAACATTTGCACTTCTAAGCCTTTGTTTCCGCATTCTACAAAGTAAGATTAAGCTACCTAACTTTTCTGCATCTCTTTCCTTCATTAATAAAGGAAGATAATGTGATACCCAGCCCAAAGGATTTGTGTGAGAGTTAGTGAGTCAGTGGTGTGAAATACTGAGAACAGTGCTTGGCACATGGTAACCTCTCAGTAAACATTAGCTGTTATCATTGTTAATTTATATTAATAGTTGTTGTTATTAAAGTTTTAAAGGGTTAAATAATCTGTAGGATCCTTTCCAGTGGTACTAAATTTATACGGACCAGGAAGGGTGGGAGGGGGTTACGGGAAAGGTTCGTGTCGGCCTGCGTTTCCCACAGAAGGTGTTGCTGCCATTTTTAACCCTGTTTGTCAGCAGACAGGACCTGGGGAAGCCATAGTGGGAGTAGTAACATTAGAGATTTGGGATAATTTTTCATCCTCCTTCACTTCTTGGCCAAAAATATCTTCAGGCTGTAAGTGTAAAGTCATAAGCCACTACTCAGCCAGTCAAGAGGGTCTTGTTCAGAGTCTCTGGTAACTGTAAAACGCTCTCTGGTAATTGTTAAAGGCTAAGGGAAGGGCAGCTCTAGATCCCTGAGTATCTCTCTGCAAAGATTTTATTAAACAAACTGTGTATATATAGGAGAAGTTGGTTATTTTATGCTAATTTTGTCTTAGACTCGAAACCCACATGACACCAGAGATGTTCCGAACGCCGCTGCATGAAATTGCTTTGAGCATAAAACTGCTGCGTCTGGGAGGGATCGGCCAGTTCCTGGCCAAGGCGATTGAGCCTCCGCCTCTGGATGCCGTGATTGAAGCAGAGCACACGCTTAGAGGTACCTGTGAACACGTGCCTACCCAACACATGCCAATTCAGTCCTTGTCTTGTCCTGGTAATTAACACTTAGCTGTGAACTGAGAAGAGGATACCGTCCACAGGGCTGTGATAATGTGGCTTCCAGTGTTGCTTCATGTGCTTGGTATAGTCAGGATGTAAAATTAGCAACACGAGGTAGGGGATAGTGTGAGTCTTATTTAGGGGACAGAGATGGAGAAAAGGCGGTGTCTTCTCTGATCCAGGGTTCAGTGATCAGAACATGAATTACTCATGAGACCCACAGTGTTCTGTGCACTTCTCTTAGAACTTGTGTTTGTTTGTTGCAGAGCGAGCGGCAGCACAGCATCGTAGGGGGTCGGCGGGGCGCGGGGGGTCTGAGTCTGAACTTCATATCTCCCTGTGCTCATCTGCTATGTGAACTTCAGGCTTTTATTCTCCAGATTTCATTTCTTTCTAAAACTTGTCAGGGGTGCTATCGGACTTGTCGCAGCATGTGGCTGCTTACGCTGCTATTACAGTTACTGCAGCTTTTACAGATTTCTCGTGGACTGTGCTCAGCTTGACCGCCTGCAGGGCCTCATTCTAGTGACTTCTTCGTATTTGGTGCTAGAATGTGACTTTGTTCTGTTTTTAAGTGAAGAGAGTTGTTGGCTATGGGCATGGTGCTGGCAGTTGGGTTGACAAATGATGAAAGCTTAAGTGCAATAAGGAAATACTCCATCTTTGCCCAGGTTGCAAGGGTGTTCGTTGCTGTTTCAACTCACAAAGAAATATCTCCCCACAGAGCTTGATGCATTAGATGCCAATGATGAATTGACTCCTCTGGGACGGATCCTGGCTAAACTCCCCATTGAGCCTCGTCTTGGCAAAATGATGATAATGGGGTGCATTTTCTAGTAAGTGCTTTGTTTTATTGCTGATAGTTAAATGGGAGAACAATTTCAGAATCTCACCCCCTCCCAGTAACAACAGTATGGGCTCGGATAGAAGAATATACTAAATATCCTTCAGCACAGAAGTGGCATACCTAAGTTACTGAGGGAAGCACGAAATATGAACAGTGTTCCAGTAGATGGATACCTGGGCCCAACTTGTTGTGGGGAAGAATACAGATTTCTCAAAAGAGAAATGCAATTCCTCAATTAAGTAGTCGTCCTTGAGAAAGAAATACCAGTAGGAAAACAGGTGTATTTTATCAGAAAGTTTTAAAGATTAAGGAGACTAGAAAGGAAAAGCATAACATTTGGTCACAGTTTGTGGTGAATATGCGTCCATCAGCATCAGAGCCCATTGTTTTTTTCCCCTTTTTGCTTCTGGAGAGAAGAGCTGTGAGTTTCTTTGTTACGCCAGTCTCAGTGCTGATACAGCAGTACCATAGCCAATACTGACTGACCCACGGTGAGCAGTACTGCCTGAGTTGCTGGGACAGGAACGATCTAGACTGAATTTTCCTGTTTGTTCTAGTGTGGGAGATGCTGTTTGTACCATCTCTGCAGCCACCTGCTTCCCAGAGCCTTTCATCAGTGAAGGAAAGCGACTGGGTTATATCCATCGAAATTTTGCTGGAAACAGATTCTCTGATCACGTGGCCCTTTTATCAGTATTCCAAGCTTGGGATGATGCTAGGTACGGCCTTGAAAGAGTGGAGTTACAAGATGTGGGGGAACTGTCTCTAGTTCATGGTCTGTGCCTGGTTCTCTGGGCTCTGTGCGTGACTCTTACCTTGCCTGTTTGCTTTAGAATGGGGGGAGAAGAAGCCGAGATACGTTTTTGTGAGCACAAAAGACTCAATATGGCTACACTCAGAATGACCTGGGAGGCCAAAGTTCAGCTCAAAGAGATTCTGATTAACTCTGGATTTCCAGAAGGTAAGATTCTCGCATTCTCCACACCTGTCTGAAGTAGCCTCTATAACACATGTACATTGACAGTGCAGTGTATTTTAGCTTCGGACTCCAGGCCCTGTGCTTTTTTTATGTTCCTGGCCGTTTCTTAGTTCTTTGAACTATAGTGACAGTCAGTTTTTCACATTAGTTCAGTTTTCTAAAAAGGATGCAAAAGATTACGCTGTTCACATTGTACTGCAGTGCACAGGTGATTAGTAGGTGGTCTGAGAATTGTGCTGCTTTGATGGGGAGGGTTTTTAAATCTCTGTTTTGTGAAAAAGGTAGTTGGGCCGGATCTAAATAACTAAACACGGTAGTTCTCTTCTATTGTAAACTGACTAAATTTGTAATTTTTTAATCAAAGGAAAAAGGAACGTTTTTATATGATAGACTCTTCACAGCTCCTGAGATGCAGGTATCATTGCCCCACTTTGTAGATGAGGAAACTGACACAGGAGGTTAAACTACTTGCCCGGACTCACTCAGTTAGGCAGTACAAGACTAGGACTCGGGTTTTCTAGCACAGTATTTCCACACTCACAGTAGCTACCATCGTACTTTCCAAATGCTGGGGTGCGCGTGAAGCACCGATGGTGAGAGCGGCAGTCTTCTCCCAGTGGGTCCCTCCTGAGTCGTCACGCCGTCTTCTGTAGGAGGAGTAGCTGTTCTAGAACAGCAGGTGGAACACATTGTGGTCATACCGGTCTAGTTCTGTTTTTTAAGTAATAACTCCAAGCTTATATTATGTTGAGTCTGTAAGAGAATACAGACATTTTAATTTCCTTATTATTTGAAGACTGAGCAGAATTTTTCCTTGCACTTAATCTGAGTGCAGGGGTTCTCAGAAGAGGAAGTTAGGCAGGTGTTTGAAAGAAGAGGGTTGGGAGAGGAGTCAGTTCCTCCAATTCTTGTAAATGGTTTACATGCAATGTGAGGATTAGCCAGATACCTGATTTTTTTTTAAATCCCACGCTTAACAGATTGTTTACTGACACAAGTGTTTACCAACACTGGACCAGACAACAATCTGGATGTTGTTATCTCTCTCCTGGCCTTTGGTGTGTACCCCAATGTGTGCTACCATAAGGAGAAGAGAAAGATTCTCACGACCGAAGGGCGCAATGCACTCATCCACAAGTCGTCTGTCAATTGTCCTTTCAGCAGCCAGGACATGAAGTACCCGTCTCCCTTCTTTGTATTTGGTGAAAAGGTAAGGAAAGTTTACATTGAAACTCCAGATTCTCTGTACTTACTAATGTGCAGTGGGAACATGAGTTTTAATTTTCAAAGCATAGCACATTATCATTATATGGTAGTTGATTGACAGTTGGAATGTCGACTATATCCTCTTGCCTCTTTCTCCATTCTTCAGATTCGAACCCGGGCCATCTCTGCTAAAGGCATGACCTTAGTCAGCCCCTTGCAGCTGCTTCTCTTTGCCTCCAAGAAAGTGCAGTCTGATGGACAGATTGTGCTTGTAGATGACTGGTATGGATTTTCAGATATGCACTCAACTGAATTTAGAATTGAAATGCAGTGGAATTCAGCTGCTAATCTAATTTAATTTATGAAACAAACATGGCAAAATTTGATGGCACAAATGAGGAAACGAGGTGCTTTGTATCAGTCTTAGTAGTGTATCTTAGGAGTACGGGTCATACTTGGTGGTGAAGTCGTAAGTCGACTGTACCAGTAGAAGCAAATGCATTAGGCGTTGGAGCCACATCCACTACCATGATTTTTTTTAAATATATTTGTGTGTTTGTGTGCCTTAGAAAGTTGTGTATGTTTGGGGGTTTAGAAGGCTTGTTTTGTTTTATTTTTTCCACTTTTATATAATTCCTTATAATAAAATTTTTATTTTTCTTTAATTGGAGTACAGTCAGTTTACAATGTGTTAATTTCTGACGTACAGCACAGTGCTTCAGTTACACATGTATTTATATATTCCTTTTCATAGTCTTTTTCATTGTAGGTTGTTCCAAGGTGTTGAATATAGTTCCCTGTGCTACACAGCACAGTAGGACCTTGTTGTTTACCTATTTAGGGATTAGAATCTAACTGGAACTTAGGTGCCTCTTTCGTGCACTTGAGATTGCTGAGAGACGAGTGGTGAGTGTGTAGTAAGCACTTGGCAAAAACTGAATAGAATTTAATGAATAGGTATTAGGCTCAGTCATTTCATGAAAACTTTCAAAACTCCAACAATCCAAGTGTCTTATGTCATTCATTCTTTTACTGGAGGCTGAGGGGTCTGTGTTGCTAAGAGTGTTCTGCTTGTGATAGACTTAGTGGTTCACAGCTCCTGCCAGTAGCTAGCGGTGAATTGTAAGAAGTGAGCGTAGATTCTGGTTGTTCTGCATTCTGTGTTTGCCTCAGTCTGGGGCCACTGCAGTAGTTGATACTTGGAGGTTGATACATGGAAAGAAGCTGAATTTATCCCATCACTTGCCATGTATGAAGCTGAGGTAATAGTCCTTTCTATGTGTACCACCTGTTATTTTTAATGTTTTCCTTTGTTAGGATCAAACTGCAGATGTCTCATGAGTCTGCCGCCTGTGTCACTGCCCTCCGGGCCGCCGTTGAGGCTCTGGTTGTGGAAGTAACCAAGCAGCCCGATATCATCAGCCAGCTGGACCCTGTGAATGAACGCATGCTAAACACAATCCGCCAGATCTCCCGGCCCTCGGCTGCTGGCATCAACCTCATGATTGGCAACACACGGTGAGCAGCATGGCGACTTCTGTTTGAACTGAGTGGAGGGCAGTGATCTCACACTCGCCCAAAATCCCCAGTTAGTTACTCGAAGCCTTGTCATTTAAGTTAAAATTCTAGACAAATGCTGAAAGAACGTGAAGTTTAGTTGTGGTTAACACGCTCAGAGAAAAGGGTGCTGCGTTTGTGTTAATGATCTGTTACAGCCGTTCACACAGAGACAGAAGGCTACAGCCGGAAACGTATGCAGAGTCTGAGGTGGGTCACGTGCCAGGAAGGGCACAGCCCAGGCAGCCCTCTTCCCACAGGATTGCTTTGTCTTCTCTGAAGGAAAAATTACGAGGGGTTAACTTGCTCCTTCAGATGAAAAGCAATCAGGGTTTATCTTCAGGAAATACAAGAATGTGGGTATCTTAAACCAAAGAAGTGTGAAATTTCTCTTAATTCTTAAGATGTTTTAAATTTGCTTCAGTTTTTTTCACCTTTAAAGTTTTTCTCTGCCCACTTCTATTTGGAAATACTCGATACCTGCAGAAAAGGCAAGACAGTAGTGCAGTGAGCACCCATGTAGTCTCTTAACTTAGGTTCACTGACTGTCAGCATTTTGTGACTCTTGCTGTCATATATATATTACATCCACACGTACTTCTTTTGCCTAATCATCTGTGATTAAGATGCAGACATCATGACATTCTACATCAGTATGCTTCACGTATCTTTTAAGAACATAGCTATAATACCAGATCACACCCCAAACATGTTTTGTCACAGTAAAATTAATATGCAAACATTAAATTTTTTTCTAGTTATTCAAAACTATTTTTTAATCTCTCCATCAAGGATCACTTACTGCATTTGGTTATAAACTGTTATAGTCTTAATGTATAGAACCATGTGGCTTATGGATTCTGACTTCCCATTTTGGCCATAACTGAGTTAAATTAACTACTCTTTAAAATTAATCAAACACATAGTACTTAGGGTACGCCACACTGCTGAGTGCTTTTCTCATGTTAACTCATTTTAATATTCAGTGTGCCTGAGATGTAGACAGAGCATTATCCTCTTTAATATAAGTAAGAAAAGTAGGCAGAAAAGTTGAGACCCAAGGTCATACAGCTAGCGAATGATAGACCTGGATCCAAACTCAGACAGTATGGCTCCCATTTATTATTGTGGTCCTCTCAGCAGGTCAGGTGTGTAGAACTGTTGAGAAGGAGAAACTTCAGACATAAAGATGGAAGATAAGTGACCTAGGCAGGAGCAGATGCGGTGCTCAGGTGTTCAGGAGAGACTTGTGTTAGGACGGGTGGTGATCAGGGAGGCTTCACATACAGTCTGCTGCGTGAGAGACAAAAGGCCAGAAACGAGAAAGGATGGGGTAAATACAGAAAAGAGGTTAGGATGTGTGAGTGTAACGGTGGCCTGAATTGCACTAGGGAGAATTGAAATGAGAAGTAGACAGACTAGACAGATTCGGTAGGAGTTTGTGACGGATTGAAATGGGGAGAGCAGTGCAGTGAGGGAAGGGGGCAGATCCTGCCGTGTTTCTGACTCGGGCAGCAGCTGCACTGGTCATGCTGGCCTCTACGAAAAGCTGCACAGAAGACTAGGCACTTTGGGGTCTGCTGGGTTGTAATTTTGGTGAGACATCTTGATTTCCTGCAGTTCATTACTCGTCATTTTCTTTGTTTGCCTTATGGAACAGATTTAGGTGTAAACAGATTGACCCTAAGGCAGTTTTCAGAAACATGCTTCAGAGTTAATGCAGGAAAACGTTTTGTGGTAAAGGGCAAGTAATCTGTTGTCAGCTCTGGGAGCCTCTAACACACGTTGCTTTCTGAGAGCCGTGTAGTTGAGGTGAGTAAGAGAGAACTGACTTCAGGCTGTAAGGACATATGGCCGAAATTTAAGATCTTTGAGAACGAACCAGAAAGAAACTTTAGAAGCACATGGTTATACTTACTCTCTTCTTCTGTCCGTTTTGGATTTAGCAGATTTATTTCGTTTCAGTTTGTATTTGTGCATTTGGCTTCATTCCCTTTATGCGTTAAATTTTCAAATATGACTGAATGTTTGTACTGTGTGACTAGCTGAGGAGTGTTAAGGATATTGTGCTGAAGTGGTGGTTTTGTGCTGTTCCCAGGTATGGAGATGGTCCGCGTCCCCCCAAGATGGCTCGCTACGACAACGGGAGTGGATATAGGAGGGGAGGCCCCAGCTACGGCGGCGGGGGCTACAGAGGTGGGGGGGGCTACGGTGGCGGCGGCTACGGTGGCGGCTCCAGCTCCTACCGGGGAGGCTACGGTGGGGGGGGTGGCTACCGAGGGGGCTCCCGAGGTGGCTACAGGGGTGCGTCAGGAGGAGACTACAGAGGGCCCACCGGAGGAGGCTACAGAGGGCCCGGGGGCTTCCAGCGAGGCGGGGGCAGAGGGGGCTGTGGGGGTGGCTACTTGGGACAAGGGAGAGGAGGAGGAGGTGGCTACTAAAGCTTGGGTATGGCAGCGCCTGTGCACAGACCGCGGCGGGAGGAAGCATGCTACTCGTTTTCCCAGGTTTACTTGCTGCCGACAAATAAACCCATTTCCCACCCATTCTGTGGTTCATTGTAGTTTAAGGAAACGAAGCACATAGATGTATTGGTGGTTTTGTTTATATTATGTAAAATAGAATGATCTATTATAAAAATACCACAGTTTGTATTTTTTCTTTAAGGAGTAAAGATTTGCCCTTAAAATTAACTTGATATTTTCTTGGCTTTAGTTTAAATACAATAGAAAATAAAGTATTACATTGAATACCGGCTACGAAGTTAATTGTTGATCATGCACATTAGAATAATTTTACAACCTCAGTTACATCTGTTTAAACATCAGAGGAAACACTGTACTGTAGTTTCACAGATACACCAAATGATGTTGCGTGTGGTTAGAGTAAACAGCCTTGGAATGGAATTGTTGCTCTTGCACTGAATTCTGGCCAGTACACAATTCACGTGGACCTCTGTACATGAATAAAACTTCTGACCGAGGGCTGGACATACTTACTTTTTCCCAAGCGTTGTCTTTGAAAAATCTGAGACCAAGATCAGCATTCTCTTTTCTAGTTAGTTTAAAAATTAAAATTAATATAAAATTTTATAAAAATTAATAAAAAATTTTAGAATTAAGAATTGTATAAAAATTAATTTAAAGTTAATATAAAAGTTTAATTAGAATTAAGAATTAATCCACATAACTCTTGAATGAAGATTGATTATATTTAGCCAAAGAACTAAAGTAAGTGGAGCTGCACCGATGCGTAAAGTTCAGGTATCTGACAACTCTGTCCACATTAATGTGTATTTCAAAGGACATTTGTAAGCTAGTTTATTTTAGTGGAGAAGTTTATATGCTTATAACACTTCACAGTTTGTAGTGAGTTTTCACATAGTTCCCATTTCAGAAACAGCACAGCACAGTGAGATTACCGAGGCTGTGGATTAGACAGCTGAGCTCAGATCTTAACGCTGCCCTCTGACACATGAGTGGTCTTTGGCAAGCTGTATTTTGTCTTCGTGTCCTTTTCAAAATCCTCTTGTTCTATGTATGTTCTTTAGATCACCTTCAACAGTTACTAGTGATAAGCTGATTAGTCCAGTTTATTTACAGACTCTGGAATCTGTATCTCCAGCTGAGATTTTCCGAGCATCAGACCTACGTAAACTGCTAACTAGACATGTATTTCTGTCCAGAAATAAGTACTTTCCAAACTGAAACAAAAAACTCCCTAACTCACCCTGTGTCCTATACTGTCTCCTATTCAGCAAAATGTTTTAGTCGCAGGACTTGTAGCTACATAAATACCGCCATACCTGGTCAGTTCTGCTTGGGAAACACCTTCCAGTTGTAACTTACAAGCCAGCCGCCTCTGCCCTCCTCGGGCCGTCAGTAACTCGCATGTACAGTGATGCCGCGACCTCAGCTCAGCTCCCCGCTCACCTGGTCCTGTCTGTCTGCAGTCCATGCTCCACACTGCAGCTAGAGTAAACTGCCCATACGAGCCTCAGGTCAGCACCGCGCCCCTCCCGGCTTACACCGTGCTTCCTGTTGTCTTCAGGGTGAAGGCTAAACTCCTCTGCGCTAAGTTCCACTCAGCAGCCATCCGGAGCGTCCCGCCTCGTCAGTGGCTGGCTTCTGTCCTTTGCACATGTGAACACTTACATAAAAGGTATAAATTCAGTGATGCCTCACTTGACGCTTACATATTCCTCCAACTTCTTCAACTGGAAATGAGAAGTCAAAGATGGCCAAGATGTCAAACTTACATTCTCTGAAGTTTGAAAGAACCACTCAGGTAGTCATAGTTAGTCTTTTAGAATTCAGCTGAAAACGTAAGGGAATTGGCTATGGTGATTTCTAGAACTATCCTCTAGAGCTCCCTCTCTGTCCTGCCCCACAAATTCCAGCTACCGTCCTCAGACCCCAGTGCCTGTCTCCAGCTCAGTGACACTGCTGTGCAGCCTCTCCTGTCATGATCTGGCGCCTCCACACCGAGAGGGTGATCATATGCTCACCCAGCTTCTTCCCTTCCTTGGGGGTCACAGCTCTACACTGCCTGTTCAGTGTCTGAAAGCAGTTGACGCATGTAAATGTATACACACATAAACATACAGTTTGCGTATATATTGTTTTTTAAATAGAATTTGGTTTTCTAGTTGTTTATATGGGGGAGGAAATCAAGTACCAGTTACTGTCGTAAGTGCAGGTCAACGTAAAGTCACTTCCAATTGTTAAAGAATCCATTATAACACCCAGAAGTCATCTGTGTGATGGGTTTCCTCTCATTCTCAACCACCTCCCTACAGTCTGCCTAGAACAAAGAATGTTTGGTTTGTGATGTTGCAGCAGGTGTGAGATGATTGGAAAGTTTTTCCAAAACAAGAGAGCTGATTACACCCCCTCTCCCAGTCGGGAGATGAAATAGAAGGGGCTGGACACAGTAGGGGGAGAGAATTTGGGAAGAAGGAACATGTGGGGAAATGTCAAGTTGCTGCTCACCACCCTTCTCATCACACATCGGGGTTTGAAAGCACAGTGAGGGGCGGTCTGCCTTTCTAGAAATTCAGGCAGGGGTGAATGGACCTGGTTTTGCACCTGTTCTGTGACTGGCAGCTTACATAACTGGCGTCTTCACTTTGCACTAGTAAACTGGAAGGTCGTGGTGACAGCCCAACAGCTTGCTTTAGGGCAGAGAGAGGTGTGGAAGAGAATGGTGCATTTCCTTTGGGCTCAGAGAAATGCTCAAAGGTTAGTAACTGAGGGGATAATCTAATGTGCCAGTTGCAGGAAGCCGAGCTGCCGAGCTGCCTGCTGCAGTGTGATGGACTCTCCCACACTGTGAAGCTGCAAATAAAGCTGTACATTACCTGTGCCAAGGGAATAAATCAGGAGACTGAATGGCTGTGTCAGCTTGGGGTCAGCATAGGCGACTTCTAGAAAGAGGATCAGCGACCGTGCCAAGCACATACTAGAACGCTAATCTCCCTCTCTGCAGATCTAGAAGGGAATAGGGGTGGGAGGAGAGTAAAGAACCAGAAATGCAATTTTTGATTGGACTGGGACCGATTTATAAATTTGGCTTTTGACTAGAAAAAGGTTCCTGCATCCCACTGGATTTACTACCTGAAAGATTTAGATTTGAATTAGCCCAAAGACAGGAAAGTTATTAAAAGAGTATTTGTGCACTTTTGACATTTGTAGACTGTCCTATTACATGTGATTTTTTTTAAGGTTTCTCAATCATGGAGAAATGTACAAGATACCTCAGAGAGATTACAGGTTTGGTTCTAGATCACCACAATAGAGCAAATAGCAGAATAAAGTGAGTCACATAAATGTTTTGGTTTCCCAGTGCATATGAAAGTTACGTGTACACTGTGGTCTATTAAGTCTGAAATCAATATATCTAAAAAAAATTACATACCTTAGTTTAAAAATACTGTATTGCTAAAAAATGCTAACCTCGGAGCCATCAGCGAGTATCTTTTTGCTGGTGGAGGGTCTTGCCTCGACGCTGATGGCGGCTGACTGATCAGGGTGGGGCTTGAAGGCTGGGGTGACGGTGGCAATTTCTTAAAACAAGACAACAGTGAAGTCTGGTGCATTGGTTGACTCTTCGTTTCACAGACGATTTCTCTGCAGTGTGCAGTGCTATTTGATAGCATTTTACCCACATAGGACTTCTTTCAAATGGAGTCAATCCCCCTCAATCTTCACTAATTAATTAATTAAAAACTCTGCTTTATCAACTAAGTTTGCTATATTCTCAACACTTTGTCACTTCAACAATCTTCACAGCATCTTCAACAACCAAGAGTAGAGTCCATCTCAAGATGACACTTTCCTTGCTCATTCATAAACAGCAACTCCTAATCCATTCAAGCTTTATCGTGAAACTGCAGCAATTCAGTCACATCTTCAGACTCCACTTCTAATTCTAATTCTCTTGCTATTTCCACCAAATCTGCAGCCACTTCGTCACTGAAGTCTTGAACCCCTCAAAGTTATCCAAGAGGGTTGGAATCAACTTCTTCCAAACTCCTGTTAATGTTGCTGTTTTGACGTCTTCCCATGAATCACGAACATTCTTAATGGCATCTAGAACGGTGGATCCTTTCCAGAAGGGTATCAGTACTTTGCCCAGACCCTTCATAGGAACAGCTACCTATAAGAAGACTTGAAAGTTGAAATTACTCCTTGACCCATAGCCTGGAGAATGGATATTGTGTTAGCAGGCATGAAAACATTTAATCTTTCTCCACATCTCCATCAGAGCTCGTGGGTGCCCAGGTGCATTATCAGTGAACAGTAATATTTTGAAAGGAATCTTCTTCTGAGCAGTAGGTCTCAACGGTGCACTCAAAACATTCAGTAAACCGTGTTGTCAACAGACGTGCTGTCATCCAGGCTTTGTGAGCACAGGCAGAGTAGATTTCGTGTAATTCTTAAGGGCCCCAGGGCTTTTGGAATGGTAGATGAGCACTGCCTTCAGCTTAGAGTCAGCAGCTGCATTAACCCCTAATAAGACAGTCAGCCAATCCTCTGAAGCCAGGCATTGACTCCTACTCTGTAGCTGTGAAAGTCTTAGGTGGCATCTTCCGATGTAAGGGTGTTCTGTCTATCTTGAAAACCTTGTTCAGTGGAGCCACCCTCAGTAACTGTCTGGGTACTTTGCTGCAGCCTCCGTGTCAGCAGTTGGTGCTTCTCCGTGCGCTTTGATGTTATGGAGACAGCTACTTTCCCCAAACCTCATGAGCCAACCTCTGCTAGCTTCAAACTTTTCTTCAGTTTCCTCACTTCTCTCAACCTTCATTGAGTTGAAGAGAGTTAGGGCTTTACTCTGGATTAAGTTTTAGTTTGACAAAATGTGGCTGGTTTGATCTATCAAGACCACTAAAACTTTCTCCACATCAGCAATAAGGCGGTTCCCCTTTCTTATTCATGTGTTTACTGGAGTAGCACTTCTAATTGCCTTCAGAACTTTAACTTTGCATTCACAGCTTGGCTAACTAGAGAGACAGGGAGATGGAGCAGCCAGGACACACACGAGTCCGCTGTCTGTTATGGGCACAATATGCGGTGCTCCAGAACGATTATAATACGAACATCAGAGATCACTGGTCACAGATCACCATAACAAATATACTGATAATGAAAATTTGAAATATTTCAAGGATTACCAAAATGTGACACAGAGACATGAAGTTATTAGCAAATGTTGTTGAAAAAATGGTGCCGACAGACTTGCTTGATGCAGGTTTGCCCCAAACCTTCAAATTGCATAAAACAAATCTGTGAAGCACGTTAAAGCGAAGTGCAATAGGAGGTCTGCCTGTACTACTGAGCCGGTCAGAGTTACTGATGGAGGTCCCCTGAATTTACCAGACTGAGTGGTAATTTAGCTTTTAAGAAAAGCATTGACTTCCTAGGAACTAACTAGAAACTGTCCCATCTTCACCCAGATTGTGGTTTCCTGAGACATGAGAAGTGCTAAACCTGAGACAGTAGTTGGCAGACTGGGGCGAGTTGGTGGCTCTAGGATTAACCTTAATGGGAGATCTTTCAGGAACTTCCAAACTTTGAAACTGCGTATTTCTTTCAAATCTAGAAGTAAATTTAAGATAAAGGAAATAATGGAATTGGCTATAAATCTAATATTTAATGTTTCTCAACTGGTAAACCTATATAATATTTTCATGTTAACCTGTGAAATATATACTAGGTGGTTATTTTTAATACTTTAGTAATTACTCATTTAAATAACTGAAATTTTTAGCTCTTTTCAAAATAACAGGAAGCAAAATAGGGTTCGGTTAACCTGCTGATCTAAATAAAACCTAAGTGTTTCGGCAGGAATAGTTGTCCTGAGCATTTCCATGTTAACCTAGTATTCTAATACCGCCTGCCAGTGGCTTCAGAATTTTATCAGGAAATAAAACAATTGTTTATCTTATGCAACTGCAAAATCTGAAAAATATCAAACTACAAAAAAATGATATGTTTAGTATTAAAATATTAATGATATAAAGTTGCCTGAGTTTTCTACAGAACAAATCAGAGTGTTCTGTAGAAAAAGCAACACATTTTGTTAAAAGCCAGCTGTTTTAGGCCTCGATTGGATAATAATGAGGACTGTGTAAAAAAGAAACTTAAACACTATCTAGGTCAGTTGTGTTGAGCTTTTGGGGGCTAAGAGGCTTCTTAGAGAATATGGTGACAGTTGTGGACTCTCCAGCAAGAGGCATGTACACAAAGATTTTACTTAAGATTTCAGGCAGTTCACACTCTTGGAACCTGTCTATGTACCTCGGCCTAAGGACACCTGATTTGGTTCAGTCACTGAAAATATAGGATTTTCTCATTTTTTACTTTAATACTTTGGAAAATTAATATTCTTGTCCTCAAATTTATTGCTTTCTGGTGATAACTGTTAAATATATAAGACAACGTGCATCTTGAGTGTCTCACGAAGAACGGTGACTTGCTCCTACGGGATTAGCAACTTCTCTGTGCCCGTGCTGCTGGGGAGCGCCTCTCAGTCCTTTGGCTTGTAGCCACCTGCCACTTCCGTTGCGTCCACCTTCCAGACCGACAAGAGGCTCTAGCACTTGGTCCCCATTCTGTTCTTCAGTTCGGGCTTTGCCACAGCTGCTCCTGGCCCTGCAGTGGAGCAGAGGAAGTCTCCACTCCTCCTGCAAGCACCTTATGTAAAACCAAAAAGGGGTTCTCCTTCATCCCTTTTGGTTCCACACCAAGATCATTCTTCTCATCTTGATTTATCCAGTCTTCACCTCCAGAATCCTAACATTTCCATCCCCAGCAACCGTGATGAAATGTTGTTCAAAGTTCTGGAATGTAAATCTCATTTCAGTCTTTTGCATAAGCATTGACCCACTGGTAGCATTCTTTTAAAACTTAACAGTTACTACTCGCAATGCACAGTACAGGGTGGGGCATAATGGTTACTGAGACCCCACTGTCTGTACTCCGAAACGTTACAATAAAGCAGGAAGCCAGGTCTGTGCACAAACAGGAAGGACAGCCGAAATGGGGAACCTCTCTTTAGGCTCTAAATTAGAATCTCTCTTAAATGCATACAAGCTTACACATTGGAGAGTTCATCTTGGTGAAGGAAAGTTCTTAAATCCCACTTGAGGAGGAGAATTAGGATTTGCCTTCCCTGATCTAGAAAACTGGTTAAGACAGGTGGCAAGCAGAGTAATGGCCCCTCAAAGATGTGCGCGTCCTAAGTTCCCAGGGCCTGTGAACACGTCTTACATGGCAAGAGGGACTTTGCAGATGTAACTGAACTGAAGGACCTTGAGATGGGGAAATTACCCCGGATTATCCAAGTGGGCTCAATCTGACCATGCGAGTCCTTAACTCGTTCACTGCCCACTGTGGATCGCGTGCCCCTGAGGAAACACAACTGTCACCCAGGTTTGGGTGACATGGAGATCAGTATGCTAAAAGTGGAAGGAGGGGGCACGAGAGTGGGTAGGAAGAAAAGACTGAAGAAGAGGCAGGAAGATTCCAAAGCAGGAAAGAGACTCAATCTCGTGTTGCTGGCTGTGGCGATGCAGGAAGGACGTAACCCAAATGCCATTAGTTACTAAAGGCTGGGAACAGCCCTCAGCTGACAACTATCAAGGAACTAGTTCTCAATCCTACAACTGCAAGGAACTCAATTCTGCCAGCAACCCAAATGAGCAAGGACACAAAATCCTCCCCTAGAGCATCCAAAAGAAACAAAGCCCTGTCAACACTGACTTTAGCCCAGTGTGCCCCATGTCAGACTGCAACCCGCAGAGCTGAGTGATGATCAATGGTGTTTAAGCCTCAACTCGTGGTACTTTGTTATGAGGGAAAATGTATGGGTGGGAAGGTGAAGGAGGGAGAAAACTTAAACTTTATGAATGTTCAAATTTCTTAGAAAATATTACAAATGCTTTGTGCATGATTTATGGATGTGAGAATAGGAAAAAAACCTGTATTCTGAAGTGAGCTTGGGGAAAAGAGAAATTAGTTGGAAACCAATGGCAGCAGCAGAAAGGAGGCAGAGGACCCAAGAGCTGAGAAGTCTGCTCATGTAAGGCTACGGTTTTCTGCTCACTCTCAAAAGACCCTATCTTCGTCCATCACCTACCCTTCCTAAGGCCAAAAACAGGTAGAGGAAGAGGACTGGAAAGGAAAATCCCCTCTTACAGCTCATGGAACTCATTATGGAGAGACTGTTCTTGTTAAGCCTCCCCAGAAAGTCCCTGTCTTATGTTACCTGGCTAACAAGACCTTGTGGTTTGGTTTGGTTTGGTTTGGTTTTGAAAGCTATTCAATGAAAACACTGAAGAACATCTACTATACTTTAATCCACTCAGCCTCCAGAGATTCTCCACAGCAACACAGGGTCACCTTTGCTGAGTTAACAAAGTAAAAGTCAAGTTAAGGAAGGGAAGGTTAAGAGCTAAAGCCTGAGTGCTCACTGCCTTTTATATTCCAAAGTCAAAGTAGGTTCTGCTTTGTGAAAAAGACCAGTTGTTTCTTAGAAAATGAACACCCTATTTTAGAGGACACATGGCCATCCATTTTAAAGATCGTATTTCCTGGTTTCATTTGCAGCTAGGTTGTAGCCACGTGGTTCAATTCTAGCTGGAGGGAGGCATGAAAGTTGAAATAATGTGTGCAACTTTGTAAAGAGGCCCCTATCCCTTCTGCTTGGCTGGAATTTAGAGGTAAAGGCTTGAACAACAGTTGCTGTCTTGGACCATGTGGTGATTGTGAATGGAAACCATACAAATGGTAAAAACAAGATAGAAGAAACTTGGGTTTCTAACACTTAACACCCACCCCCAGTCCTGCGCTGAGAACCCATGTGAACACCCACTAGCTCTATATTGAGCACCTCCGGACTAATTGAATGTGAGGGAGGAATACACTTCTCTGTTGTCTGCCTCTCTTATTTTGGATTTTCTTATTTCCTGTAGTTAAGCCTGATCCTGTATAACATAGTGCTAGCTTACCTTAGTCCTTATCTCATCTGCATAGATAAATGGAAATGACTCAGGAACTGGCTATAAATTTTTTTTTTATTCTGTACATAGAACACCTAATGCTTCTTATTGGACTGAGAGTATGTAAAACAGTATTTAACCACATTTGCTTTTGGACTTATTTGGTGATGATGGTGCTACCATATGCTAAAAATATACTAAATACCACTGAATTATATAGTTTAAAAGAATGAATTTTATGGTGTGTGAATTGTATCTCAAAACTGTTATTTAGGAAAACATGTTAAAATGAATCATTCTGTGAAAGAGCATTAAATATTAACTTTTTTTAATTAAATAAGTTTTGAATTTAATTAAAAGTACCATTAATGTGGGATATGAGAATTATTTATTAAATGTCTGAAATATAAAGCTTTAACATAAACCCAGATGCTTTAACTTGTGACTATTCTGATATCCCCCTTTAAGTTTGCTTCTATTTTATTATTATTCATTTCCAGATTCAGATTTTGCATTACTTTGGAGATCGTGTTATCATCTTTTTTATCTCCGGAAGCAGCCCCTTTGTTGAGGGCTTCTTCTGCTACAATAAAAAACTGCTCAGTTGGTTGAAGAATGCTTACTCCATAGCCACTGTTGTTGTAAATATGATTATTAGTCATCTTCAACTTGGGTGCTGGAAGAACCTGTTAAATTATTTAAGGAAATTAGTTTTTCAATAATTTCTATAAAAACAACGTATGAACTAATGAGCACGTCATAAACTCTAGAACTTATTCCTGAGTTTGCACATTTTCTTCTTTGTTTTTGTTGGTTGGTTTTTTTTTTTTTTTTGGTTTAGGGGGAGGTAATTAAGTTTATTTTTTTATTCTTAGAGGAGATACTGGGGATTGAACCCAGGACCTCCTGTATGCTAATAAGCATGTGCTCTACCAATTGAACTACCCCACACATTTCTTTAAAACAACTGAATCTCAGTTTTAAACAAGTGTTATTTTCTTCACACTGGATTAATGTAATATTAACTGCAAATATGTGTATCAAGGAAATATTAAATAAAGTTTTCAATTTATTTTTATCAGTTATTGATAAAGATAACTGATTCTAGATGGGGATATAGCAATATCCCAAGAAGCTGACTTTTAATATAACATGAGAAATCTGAAAATAATTTCAGGTAACAAAAATGATGAAGATGAAAATAATTTCAGATAATGAAATGTAAACTAGAGTTCTAGGGGAAAACTTCATTAACTATACAAATATAGAGAGGGACTTAGAAAGGCAGAATTTATAGAAGTAGAAATGAATAGGAAGGCATTTCACTTATAAATTATTGCTATTAAAGTTTTAATTGGTTAGCTTGAATTATTTTACAAAGTTTAAAAGACAAAAAAGTTCTTAATATATTTATTATCCTCTTAATTTGCTTTACTTTGTGAAAATGTTACAAATCCGCTCAATGAAAAATTTAAAACATATAAGAGAACTTAACTACTTTTTCATATTCAAAATTATTTGCTCAAAGAATTTAAGTTGAAATTATTAAATTATGAGACTGAACTTGTTCCTATTAACCATCATTTAAACTTCATTCTAATTATTTGTATTTCTCCAAATCAACAATAACATTTAGACTAAAATTTAAGACTAAAACTAATAGTATCTTTCTAATAATTATTTATATTTCTTACAACAATTCTATGTTAAAAAATATGAGGTCACACGGCAGTGGCTGGAGCAGATGCGAGATGGTCATCCGTCCCCAGGAGGGCAGAGGGGGGCAACGAAAGAGCCAAGGGAGAGAAGCATCTCAAAGACATGTCCTTCTCCAGGCAAGATGGCAGAGTAGTAGGTCCACGAGCTCACTCCCTCTCATGAACACATCAAAAACACACTGGCTGCTGAACAACTGTCAGTAAAAAAGGCTGCAAACTACCAAAAAAGATCTTCTTCAATTGGAGACACAGAGAGGGAACCACAGAGGGAAGGTAGGAGGGGTGCACCTGGGATATAACCGGGTCCCACACCTCCCGGTGGGTGACCCAAAAGCTGGAGAATAATAGCACTGCAGAGGCTCAGGCGCAGGAGTGAGAGCTCGGAGCCCCACACCAGGCGCCCCAGCCTGGGGGTCTGCATCAGGAGGAGGATGCTCCAGAGCATTTGGCTTCGAAGGCTAGTGGGGCGCAATTGCGGGAACGCCTCAGGGCTAGAGGAAGCAGAGACTTCACTTTTAAAGAGCGCACACAGAATCTTATTTGCACCAAGACCAACAACCCAAGCAGTGATTTCATAGAAGCCTGGGCTGACCTGCCTGCTGGTCTTGGAGGATCTCCTATAGAGTGGAGGGCAACTTTGGCTTACCCAGGGGACATAAAAGCTGGCGGCAGACATTCAGGAAGTATTCAGCCTCATGAACCTGCCTGGAGGCAGAAATCTCGCTTGGGTCATTAGCACCAAACCTGGCCCCTCTCAATAGCCTATAGGCTTAAGAATTGGAATGCCTCAGGCCAAAGAACTAACTGGGTGGGAACACAGCCCTACCCATTAGCAGACAGGCTGCCTAAGGACTTCCTGATCTTCTAGACATGCCCTTGGACACAACTCTGCCCACCAGAGGGCCCAGCTCCACCTACCTGTGAGTAGACACTGGCCCCGCCTGTGAGGAAACCTGCACAAGCCTCCAGTCCAGCTTCACCCACCAGGAGACAGACTCCAGAAGCAAGAAGGACTCTACCCTGGGACCAGCTGGCTCCTGACCTTTGGGTCACAAGATGGGGGTGCACTGCTGGGACACACAGGACATCACCTACAAAGGGCCACTTCTCTAAGGTTGAAAAACTTAAACTATCACATATATATATATATGTGATATGTCTATATATATATATATATATAGAGAGAGAGAGAGAGAGAAGAGAG